TGGTCTACCTGAGTAAAATCTGTGTTTATCATAGAGCCCGTTTTCTCCATAATAATGTTTAAACAGTGGAGGAGGAACAAGTAGCAGTGGGATTGTATTGTATTCTCACTGGTTCATGTTCTTCTCAAACTAAACCTTAATCTTCATCTTGGATATGTCTGATCAACAAATCCTGTTACAGCTCGTTTAACAAATTTGACATATCTGAGTTAGTTTTGTCTGTCTGGGTTATGTACTGTAGATATTGTGTACATAAATATCACAGTTACATATCCTTCACAGATGAAACATTATCACAAAATATATTTATCCTGTCTAGTGGTATCTACTATAGTCTTGTATTATATCATGACTAGAGCAGACACTGCTAAATATGCTGAATTTAATCTCATCATCAATCCTGGAACTTCCTTAATACAAATTTGTAACTACATACATTTCCAATCCTGGCCTTTTTAACATAGTTCTGGAGAAACAAGTAGCAGTGGGATTGTATCATATTTTCACTGGTTCATGTTCTTCCCAAACTAAACCGTCAAATATCTCTTCAGCTTGTATATCGAATCAACGTCCAGCTAAGTTTAAGTAGTTTTGTCTGTCAGGGTTATGTACTGCAGATATTGTGTACATAAATATCACAGTTACATAACCTTGACAGATGGAACATTATCACAAAATAAGAATAAACTGTATTTTGTAATATTTATATAAATCTGTCTAGTGATGTCAACCATAGTCTTGTATTATATTATGACTAGAGTAGACACTACTAAATTCAACCTTAGCATCAATCCTGGAACTTCCTTCATATATAATATAGTTCTGGAGTAACAAGTAGCAGTGGGATTATATTGTATTCTCACTGGTTCATGTTCTTCTCAAACTAAACCTTAATCTTCAACTTTTTTATCTGTTCAACATTTTCTGATACAAATTGGACATTATAACATAAACCTGGAAACATGTATCTCACCAATATATCTATCCTGTTGGTGTCTACCATAGTTTTGTATTATTTCATGACTAGAGCAGACACTGCTAAATATGATGGATTATAATCAACCTTTAAAATTCTTCATATAATATAGTTCTGGAGGAACAAGTAGCAGTTGGATTATATTAAATTCTCACTGGTTCATGTTCTTCCAAAATTAAAGCTGTTACATCATACTGGATCTGATCATAAGTCCTGATATTCTGAATTTACAAATCTGAGTCCTACTTTCTAAATCTAGTTTTGTCTGTCTGGGTTATTTACTGTAGATATTGTTGTACACGAATATCACAGTTACATAACCTTCACAGATAGAACAGTATCACAAGAGCTACAAAATTCATCAACATGCATAGTTCTGGAGGAACAAGTAGCAGTGGGATTGTATTGTATTCTCACTGGTTCATGTTCTTCCCAAACTAAACTTATATCTTCAGTTATTGCATTTATACCCTGATAAACAAGTTCCGGTCATCTGAATCAACAGTATTTACTGAGTAGTTTTGTCTGTCTAGGTTATGTACCGTAGATATTGTGTACATAAATATCACAGTTGCATAACCTTCACAGATGGAACACAATCCTCCAAACACAACTTTTTTATCTGTTCAACATTTTCTGATACAAAATGGACATTATAACATAAACCTGGAAACATGTATCTCACCAATATATCTATCCTATCTAGTGGTTTCTACCAAAGTCTTGTATTATATCATGACAAGAGCAGACACTGCTAAATATGATGGATTATAATCAACCTGGAAAATTCTTCATTAATATAGTTCTGGAGGAACAAGTAGCAGTTGGATTGTATCATATTCTCACTGGTTCATGTTCTTCCCAAACTAATGCTGTTACATCATACTGGATCTGATCATCTGATCAGTAAGTCCTGATTTTCTAAATTTACAAATCTGATACCTACTTTCTCAATATAGTTTTGTCTGTCTGGGTTATGTACTGTGGATATTGTTTACATAAATATCACAGTTACATATCCTTCATAGATGGAACAGTATCACACAAACATGCATACAAATGTCTCACCAATATATTTATCCTGTCTAGTGATGTCTACTATAGTCTTGCATTAGACTAGAGCAGACACTGTTAAATATGATGGATTATATTAAACATGGAATTTTCTTCAAATATAATATAGTTCTGGAGGAACAAGTATCAGATGGGATTGTATTATATTCTCACTGGTTCATGTTCTTTCAAAACTAAACCTTAATCTTCATGTTGGATCTGATAACAAGCATTCGACATGACAACAGCTCCACCAGCAGATAAATATTCTAATTTACAAATCTGAGATAAACCTGATTATGTTTTGTCTGTTTGGGTTATGTACTGTAGATATTGTGTACACAAATATCACAGTTACCTAACCTTCCCAGATTGAACATTATCACACAAACTTAGCTGGAAATTTCAGCATGAAACATGAACAGATTATTACATTATTACAAACATTATTACAAAATAATAAATAAGCTGTATTGTTTAATATTCATATATATCTATCCTTTCTAGTGGTGTCTACTTTAGTCTTGTATCATAGATTAATAACATTACAGATAGAACTCGATATGTCGTCTTTTTAATCTGTCTTCTATCACATCATGCCTAGATGAGACACTCCTAAACCTGATATCTCAATTCACACAGGGTATACAGAGAAATTATCGATACAGTTCTGGAGGAACAAGTAGCAGTTGGATTGAATTGTATTCTCACCGGTTCATGTTCTTACCAAACTAAACTTTCAAAACTGGTTACATCTTAGATATCGGATGAACGTTCTGAGTTTCTTTTTCTTTCTTTTTTTTTTTATATTCCAATTAAATCTACCATTTTTGTTTCTTAAAGTTGTTTATAGTTCATCGTTGAAAAATACCACAGTTAAATTTTAAACAATAAATATGTAACTTTCTTCTCCTTTTCTAATATTATCACAACCTCTATTTTTGAAGAGTTTTAATAGTTTCTCCCAATTTTCTATCTAATAAATAATGATCTATATACTTTCTTTGTTTAAGCCAAACTGATGATAAAAAAGCTGTTTTAAGCATTTCCTAGTTCTGGAGGAACAATTTAGGAAGTGTGAAGTATTTTATTCTCAGTCATTCATCATCTTCCCAAACTAAATGTTTGTTTTCAGCTTGTTTATATCAGATGATAAAAGTTTGTCTTGGTTTATGAATATTCAAAATATGTGAAGTACACCTGCAGTATGGAAACAGTACAACAAAATGGCCGTTTTACACTTTTTTTTTAGTAAATTCCCCTTTAATATATATATGTTATTCTCTTTGTCCAAAACTGCTGTGGTTCAATTTTTAAAAATTTAGAACATTTTTGAAATTCATGGAACATTTCCGTTAGATTGATATCGATTAGAGGTGTGAAGCACGAAAAATAAGAACATTTTTAAATTTGACAGTTTGGCTCTGGTTGAAAATTGAAAATTGTGATAAGTAAAAGATAAAGTTATCATTTCATTCACATTTTGTTTCAATTATAGATTATTATAAGGGTTTACAATCAAATAAAAATTATTAAGAATATTGATATAATGATAATTATCATGGATTTAAAGCAAGCGTCTGGCTTGGTGAAATTTGCGTCCGAACTCAATTTAAAGTTTTTGTGGTAATCAAAACAAGAAAATTTCATGTGTCATCGATGCTAGATGAGTAGATTTGCAGAAGAATCTGAGAGGAATCTGCGATGCACGATGGTTGGAATACCCAAGCACCAAGATTCTGTGCCTATACATTTTTAGGGTTGTATAACAAACACAAAATCTTTCCTAATTCTTTCCTAAATAATAACTATACGCATTTTTAAGATTTGTTTAGACGATTTGCATTTTTTTAGACCTTACTGAAATTCCATAAAACGGTCAAATTCCTAAATCTAACCAAACCAAACCAAACTATTTTAATTTACTACGTACCTCTAATTTTATCAGTCAATCGGAAATATTAATAGATTTTTAAAATTTAAAGCTTTTAATTGAACCGTTGTCAGTGCTACAATGTCTATAAAAGCGTTTATGTTTAGAGACTCTGTACTTTTTTTTACCTGAGCTGTAAACTTTAGAATGGGTTATCCTTAATCCCGCGATCTGTTAATTAATCTGGAGATTAATAACAAGAGGAAAACAAGCAGTATTCAATCTGGAGATTAAGAAAAAGAGGAGATCAAGAATATTAATCTCGATAAAGTTTTCAGCTCTGACCAATTTTGACGATTTCTAACGAATCGCTGTCTTTTTGCGCCAATTGTATGTAAGCGTGATCCTATTTTCATCTATATATATATACTTTGTTTGTCTGTCAGTTTTTATCCAATAAACGTCAAAACGGCAAAACCCATCAAGCCCAAATTTTGTGTGGGATCTCGCATGACCCCAGGGAAAGTTTATGGATGATCGAGTTTACAAAAATTTGCCTCTAACAGAATTATATATTTAAAAATTTAGAAAATTCGCGATTTTTTATGATATAATCCGCGAAATTTTTGTGTTTTTATTTTACAAAGTATTTTACAATGTATTCTAAGATAAAATTTAAATAGAAGATGGGCGCGAAGCGCTCTAAAAGCATAGTTTATCTATATTCCAATCATGTATTTGTGTTGCTTGTCTACTCTATCTTTATTTCCAATATCGGACAAATTTCGTGAAATACAAATCCTTGGAATTTCAGATTTTACCATTGCCATTTTCTGATAAAAAATGTCTTGAATTATAAGAATTTAATACTAAGTACGCATGATAAATTGAGGGTAACGGAGACAGAGTTAGTATCAAAATGTTTATAAATTGTATAGTAAACAAATATTTTTTATATTAAATACTTTTAGTTTTTTAAGGGTCAAAGTTTGCCCTTACTATCAGCTAAAGGAAGATTAAGTACATCTTATTGTCCGACTATCTATCTATCTATCTCATTATCTAACGTTATCTATCTAAGTTTAAGAATATTATCATAACTGTACAGTTTATATTGCAGTAAAGTCTTTGAATAGTGATATTTTATTTAGTCAAGTTGAACACTAATATCCTGATTTAGTCCAGTTGAACAACGAACTGTATATCCTGGATTAGTTTTGAGAGAAGGGCTGGTATATACTGGTTAAGGTAGAGAAAAACAAAATTTGTTTGTTTTATCTTAAAAGTTTTGTTCATCATATCTCTCTCTCTCTACCTTATCTCTATCTGTCCCCTCATATTCTTATAGCAGTTCAAATCTTAAAGATCTTTAGATAACTTAATTATGAACTAGTTATTGATCTAGTTCTAGTTCAGTTATAGATATTGCTCTAGTTCTTAATCTAGTTCTAGTTCAGTTATAGATATTGCTCTAGTTCTTGATTTAGTTCTAGTTCAGTTACAGAAATTGCTCTAGTTCTTGATCTGGTTCTAGTTCAGTTATAGACATTGCTCTAGTTCTTGATCTAGTTCTAGTTCAGTTATAAATATTGCTCTAGTTCTTGATCTAGTTCTAGTTCAGTTATAGACATTGCTCTAGTTCTTGATCTAAGTTCTAGTTCAGTTATAGACATTGCTCTAGTTCTTGATCTAGTTCTAGTTCAGTTATAGATATTGCTCTAGTTCTTGATTTAGTTCTAGTTCAGTTACAGACATTGCTCTAGTTCTTGATCTAGTTCTAGTTCAGTTATAGACATTGCTCTAGTTCTTGATCTAGTTCTAGTTCAGTTATAGATATTGCTATTGTTCAAATTCAGTTATAGATTTTGCTCTTGATCAGTTATAGACACTGCTATAGTTCTAGTTCAGATATAGATATTGCTTGCTCTAGTTCTAGTTCAGTTATAGATATTGTTCTAGTTTAGATATAGATACTGCTTGCTCTAGTTCTAGTTCAGTTATAGATATTGCTCTAGTTCAGATATAGATACTGCTTGCTCTATTTTTAGTTCAGTTATAGATATTGCTCTAGTTTTGATATAGGTATTGCTCTGTTTCTAGTCAAGGTCTGATTGTATCCAGGTTAAGTATGGAGCTGCGGAGTACAAACTATCCGTTCCTTGTCTGTCTACTGGCCTACCTATACTACATAAACTTCATCAATTTCAAGGTTTATCAGTGGTTACCAGATTGACGTGAAATAGAAAGACGACCAGAGCTGGAAACTTTTCTTTTTGATACCCATAATCCCGATCGTTTGATCTCAATATCCACTTTGGACACTTTTAATTTGAGGATCTATAATAAAGTATATGTACCTGCCCATATCTTCATTTTAGTTATTCATAACCTAATCAAAGCTCCCTTGAACCCCTGGCCGTAGGGTATGATTACCGTGCGGGATATCGAATCAAGATGAAATTAATCTGAAGATAAACAAAAGATTGAGATCAATCATCGATCTCGATATCCACAATAGCAATGATCTCGATATCCACAATGGCAATGATCTCGATATCCACAATAGCAATGATCTCGATATCCACATAGAAGAGTTCCCAGCTCTGTAAGCATTGATTGAATTACCTCATACACTAAGTTACAGCCGTGTATCGTATTAAATGGTTATTAAATAATTTCAAACAAAATAGTAGTTTTAAAGTCAGCATTCTTTTTTACATACATTTTTGGTAACCACTGTTTTTTTTAAATAGCGAAATCTCATTTAAAAAATTTTCTTTTTCTGTTTGTTTTTATCTTAATGAAATAGCAAATTTCCAATTCGTTTAAAACAAAGTTTACACATTATGATTTCGTTTTTCGTTTGTTTACCCTTGTTTACCCTTGTTTACCCTTGTTTACCCTTGTTTACCCTTGTTTACTCTTGTTTACCCTTGTTTACCCTTGTTTACTCTTGTTTACCCTTGTTTTCCCTTGTTTACCCTTGTTTACTCTTGTTTACCCTTGTTTACCCTTGTTTACCCTTGTTTACCTTTGTTTACCCTTGTTTACCCTTGTTTACCCTTGGATTTATTAGAAACGTTTCTACTTTCTTGTATATTGTGACCCAAGGTATAAGAAATTTAGAAGAAATTGAGTCTTTACCACAAACTCTGATTTTCTAATCCTTATATCTTTTTAACCCAATGTCGCAGACATTGGATATTTCAAACTATGTATTCCGTTTCAGAACATTATCTCAGTTTGAAATATCAAAAGTTTACACCATCAGGTTGCAAAGAAATAGGAATTAGAAAATTTGGGAATGGTGACAAAAACTCAATTATTTTCGATGTACGTAGTTATAATTTTTATTCCAAATATCCTGGAAGGCTTGAAATTACTAAATGATTGTCAGGTTAAGCTGTTAGTCCTGTTTATTGGATGGGTGACCACAGGAGGGGGATATATTCTCTACTTAACCTATCACACGCTAGGTTAATAAGATATAGTATCATAGAGATCCAGGCCGCTATGAAAGGTTGCATACATTTTCAAGAATGGGTCGACATTAAAGTGTGGCAACGCTTTGGCCATTTGAAAATGTCTCACCAGCAAAAAATTATTACATCGGCAAATTAGAAGTTTTGTTTTCAACGAATTAAAAAATATAGATAATTATTAAGGTCTATTTCTAGTTTTTTAACACTTGTTAAAATTTGCATCAAAAGATGCGTATCAAGCTACCGCACTTATTACATTCCAAACTACATAAATACCCGATTTTCCATATTTCAAAAATTGTTAGATTTAAGGCTAAAAACTTTCTTCTAAAAAATCAATTTTAATTTTTAATTTTAGGAAGAGACTTCCGTTTATTAATTCGAGGAATACCAATCCTTCTCAGTCTTGTCAGAGTAAGTGTTTTAGCAGTATATACTTATCCTTTTCTATATCTTTATCCTTATCTATATCTTTATCATTGTCTATATACTTATCCTTTTCTATATCTTTATCCTTATCTATATCTTTATCATCATCTATATCTTTATCCTTATCTATATCTTATCATTATCTATATCCGTATCTTTATCTATATCTTTATCATTATCTATATCCTTATCTTTATCTATATCCTTATCCTTATCTATATCTTTATAATCATCTATATCTTAATAATTATCTATGTTTCTCTATGTCCTAATCGTTTTCTGTATATTTATCATATATTTATATTTACCTATATCCTTATCTTTATCTGTATCCTATATCTTTATCAAATCTATATCCTAATCTTTATCTGTAACTTTATGATACTTATATCCTAATCTTTATCTGTAACTTTATCATACCTATATCCTAATCTTTACTTATATCTTTATCAAACCTATATCCTAATCTTTATCTGTAACTTTATCATACCTATATTCTAATCTTTATCCGTAACTTTATCATACCTATATCCTAATCTTTACTTATATCTTTATCAAACCTATATCCTAATCTTTATCTGTAACTTTATCATACCTATATCCTAATATTTATTTGTTACTTTATCATACCTATATCCTAATCTTTATCTGTATCATATCTATATTTATCATATCTTTATCATCATTTCCATTTCTATTTATATCCTTTTCTAAATAATATCCTGTAAATTTATCTAGATAAAAAGACGACATATGACGGTTCCTAAAGTGTTCCGTGAAAATATGCTACAGAGACCAGACAAGATTATGTTTTTTGATTCAGACTCTCATCTGACCTTCAGGTTTATATATAGGAGTAGGAGTAGGAGTAGGACAGGAGTAGGAGTAGGAGAAGGAGTAGGAGTAGGAATAGGAATAGGACAGGAGTAGGAGAAGGAGTAGGAGTAGGACAGGAGTAGGAGTAGGATAAGAAGGGTTTAGTACCTCATTTGTCAAGAGGAGTAGGAGTATAGGGTTTACATACAATCCAGATATATCTAGAGGGTTAAAGGAGCTAAGTAACAGGGTTGAAAACCTGCTCCTATCTCAAGGTTTACATAATATCATGTTATATCTAGGGGAGTAGAGGAGCTAAGTAACAGGGTTGGAAACCTGCTTCTATCTCAAGGTTATATCTAGGGGAGTAGAGGAGCTGAGTAACAGGGTTGGAAACCTGCGCCTATCTCAAGGTTTACATAATATTCTGTTATATCTAAGGGAGTAGGGGAGCTGCATAACAGGGTTGGAAACCTGCTTCTGTCTCAAGGTTGTCATATCTAGAGGAGTAAAGGAACTGAGTAGCATGGTTGGAAACCTGCTTCTGGCTCAAGGTTGTCATATCTAGAGGAGTAAAGGAGCTGAGTAACAGGGTTGGAAATCTGCTTCTATCTCAAGGTTTACATAATATCCTGTTATATCTAGAGGAGTAAAGGAGCTGAGTAACAGGGTTGGAAACCTGCTTCTATCTCAAGGTTGTTATATCTAGAGGAGTAAAGGAACTGAGTAGCATGGTTGGAAACCTGCTCCTATCTCAAGGTTTACAAAATATCCTGTTATATCTAGGGGAGTAGAGGAGCTGAGTATCAGGGTTGGAAACCTGCTCCTATCTCAAGGTTTACCAAAATATCCTGTTATATCTAGGGGAGTAGAGGAGCTGAGTAACAGGGTTGGAAACCTGCTCCTATCTCAAGGTTTACATAATATCCTGTTATACCTAGGGGAGTAGTGGAGCTGAGTAACAGGGTTGGAAACCTGCTCCTATCTCATGGTTTACCATAATATCCTGTTATATCTAGGGGAGTAGAGGAGCTGAGTAACTGGGTTGGAAACCTGCTCCTATCTCAAGGTTTACATAATATCCTGTTATACCTAGGGGAGTAGAGGAGCTGAGTAACAGGGTTGGAAACCTGCTCCTATCTCATGGTTTTATCAAGGGAGACACTATTGCTCTACTCATGGAGAACAGGATTGAATATATCCCAATATGGATCGGGATGGCCAAGGAATTCATTCATTTATTTTGTGCTTTGTCACCAAAATTTCAAGTAACCACCTTATTTTAAAATTGCCCGATTGACAACGGTTTGGACATTTATATAAAATATAAAGATGTCGCCGTTTTCAGACTAATGAATAATTGAATAATTGAACAATTGAACAATTGAACAATTGAACAATTAAACAATTAAACAATTGAACAATTGAACAATTGAACAATTAAACAATTAAACAATTAAACAATTGAACAATTGAACAATTGAACAATTGAACAATTGAACAATTGAACAATTGAACAATTGAACAATTTAACAATTGAACAATTGAACAATTGAACAATTGAACAATTGAACAATTGAACAATTGAACAATTGAACAATTGAACAATTGAACAATTGAACAATTGAACAATTGAACAATTGAACAATTGAACAATTGAACAATTGAACAATTGAACAATTGAACAATTGAACAATTGAACAATTGAACAATTGAACAATTGAACAATTGAACAATTGAACAATTGAACAATTGAACAATTGAACAATTGAACAATTGAACAATTGAACAATTGAACAATTGAACAATTGAACAATTGAACAATTGAACAATTGAACAATTGAACAATTGAACAATTGAACAATTGAACAATTGAACAATTGAACAATTGAACAATTGAACAATTGAACAATTGAACAATTGAACAATTGAACAATTGAACAATTGAACAATTGAACANTAACTTTACTGTTTACTTTCTAATCCCTATAACTTTACTGTTTACTTTTAAATTTCAAACTTAGATTATTTGATCCAACAGAATTCATAGGCTGAAATATCTAAAGTCTACGACATTGGGTCGCAAAAATATTGGAATTAGAAAATCTGAGTTTGTGGCAAAGACTTAATTCTTTTTGAGAGCTTTGGAGAAAGTTTTTATTAGATTCGTTTTGCAGAAACACCTGACAGAAAATAAAAGAAGTACTTTTCCACTATCCACTTATATTTTTTATTAATTGACATTACGGCCCCAAGAGACTCCAGCATCCTAAGAAATTAAAAATAAATTATAAAGTAGTATCTGGGGTTTCCAAAATGATATTAAACAACATTCCAAGTCAAAAACTATGTATTTTATGAACATTCAAAATGACCAAACACGTCATTAAATTATAAGAGTTACAATTTTCAAAAAAACTCAAAAAACGAAGTTTTTGAACTGTTCATTGATCGACCATTTTTAAGTATTACAGAAAGTATTGACATTTTAGAATAAGTAGTAAATATAGAAAATGAAGAAAAAATTATTTTTTTTGTTCAGTTCTACGGGTATGTTAGTGAGGTGCAAGTGCGTATCAATAAAATCGATGATTTTGGGGCTAAAACTGCTTATAAAAATATTAGTTGGTTTTATCTTTTAGACCATTATCTGGGATTTCCAAAATGATATAAAACATTATCCTTAGTCAAAAACTTTGGATTTTATAAAAGTTTTAAGAAATAAAATCCATAAAGATCAAAAGTTGCCAAAAAATCAAAATTTCCGGCGGCACCGGAAAAAATAGCCAAAAATAAAAAAGGTTAGGTAAGGAAGGAGGAGGATAGCTGGATTTTGCAATATACATGAATATATTGTATAGTTAATGGCGCAGAAATGTTTTCTGAATACTCCGGGAAATTTTGTGAATTAATTAATAATATGTTAGGATAGGATAGGATATAATAGGATTGGGTAGGATAGGATATAATAGGATTGGGTAGGATAGGATATAATATGATTGGATAGGATAGGATATAATATGATTGGATAGGATAGGATATAATAGGATTGGGTAGGATAGGATATAATAGGATTGGGTAGGATAGGATATAATATGATTGGGTAGGATAGGATATAATATGATTGGGTAGGATAGGACAGGATTTCATTTATTTTCATTTCATATTTTTATTCAACTACAAAGCACGAGATAATACAAATAACAAATCACAATTTACTATGTAGTTTGGACCCGCCTAACCAGAGTTGGTTGTATTGTTTGATTGGCCCATTACAAGCGAATAAGAATTGTAAATAAATAGATTGATGTACACTGTACAGTGTACATTTTAAACAAAGCAATGATGATTGGTTAAGATAGGAAAGAATATGATGGGATTGGTTAGGATAGGACAGGATATGATGGGATTGGTTAGGATAGGACAGGATATGATAGGATTGGTTAGGATAGGGCAGGATATAATAGGATTGGTTAGGATAGGACAGGATATGATAGGATTGATTAGGATAGGGCAGGATACAATAGGATTGGTTAGGATAGGACAAGATATGATAGGATTGGTTAGAATAGGACGGGCTTAAATATAACAGGATATTACAGGATTGTTTAGGATATAAAGGGTATAGATAGGATAGGATCGGTTAGGATAGGTTAGGTTTAGATAGTTATTCTAACTTAATGGGATTAACTAGTTAAATAAATGGTTTATTTAAAACTATGTATGTTGCCAAACCCATGAACCCTCTATTTATGTGGAAATAAAGTAACAACAATAAAATTTGAAAAAGTATTAAACCCTTGAATGTTCTGCAGCTATACTGGACATATCCTCTGAGCTGAAAACCAAGGATGGATTCAAGGTTTACTGTTTTGATGGATCCCCGGCCACAGATAACAACTGGATTGACATGAAAAAGGTAAAAGCTAATCCATTCTAACTTTGCAACCTATGTTTCCTCCAGTTTTTATTATCAAGTATTGGGACCAAACTAATTCTAATCTCAAATTTGCTTCGACGTAAAAAATGTCTTTCAAATGGGAATATCAAAAAAGGATGAGTATTCAGAGACGACTGTTTGGAATTTGTTTAGTCCCTTTTCTTACATTCGGTGTTTCTTGCGAACGGGGGAAGGCAGGCGGCCATAAGCCACAACATTTTCACCTTCCATGCCACATATTATCTTTTTTGTCTGTCGGCAGCCATGAGCCACAACCGTACGGTCTTCCATGCCACATCATTTGAGTCTTCCGGCAGTTATTACGTTTTTAAATGATAAATTTAGGTCAATTGAAATTGCAATTTTAAAAAGTCCTGCCGCATTACGCTGAAGATGATACCTTTAAGAGATTTTAGAAGTTTATTAAAGATTAATGAATTGTGTTTTCAGTTTATATACTGCTTTACATTTTTACAAAGAAAATTTGACAGCATTTTTGCAATTTTATCGTTAAATGGTGCAAATCTTCGGCGCTATGGGCGCCCTTTGAACTTTAAAATTATGTTATGGAGCATTATTATCGTTCATAATGTTTTAAAAATAAGCCATTTTAGAGGAAAGATTGAAATTATTTTTTGGGAAATAAGTTAAGCAGTTTACAGTAAAGGGATCATCTTTATTTCAATTTAAAACTTAAATATAAAGTTCTTTATATATATCTTATGCATGACGTCGCCGGATTTTTGAAAATCATAAATTCAATGCACAAAATTTATTATTGAAAAACGTGATAACTGCCGGAAGACTCAAATGCTGTGGCATAGAAGACCGTATGGTTTTGGCTCATGGCTGCCGGATAACAAAATAAGAAATATGTGGCATGGAATGGAAGAATATTGTGGCTTATGGCCGCCTGCCTTATCCCACTCTTCTTACAGGCCAAAACTGGCAAATTTCTGTGCTTATTCATTTAGTAAAATATTGAAATACTGAATTAAAGGCAGAAACCAAAATAAAGCTTTAAATCGTCATAATTTAAGAGTTCTGAGTCGTCTTTTTAAGTCTCGTTTTTGTAGATAACCCTGTAGATAATGTCCCTGTCCCATATACATGTCATAAAACGTTCGAAATGTTTAACCAAATCATGAAACGTCCCAGATGTTTAACAAATATTATGTAACGTGCTAGTTGTTTAGAGGTAAATTAGTTAATCTAATATTATGTAACGTGCTAGTTGTTTAAAGGTAAATTAGTTAATCTAAGATTATGAAACGTGCTAGTTGCGTATAGGTAGATTAGTTAAACATGCCATTTATTTAACTAAGATTATACAACGTGCTAGTTGGGATTAGTTAAACATGCAATTTATTTAACTAAGATTATACAACGTGCTAGTTGGGATTAGTTAAACAATTTATTTAACTAAGATTATACAACGTGCTAGTTGGGATTAGTTAAACATGCAATTTATTTAACTAAGATTAAACAACGTGCTAGTTGCTTAAGTGGAAATCAATTTAACGTGCCAATTCCTGAAATAAGATTATGAAACGTGGTTGTTCATTATAGGCAAATTAATTGAACGTGCCTTTTCTTTAAAAAATACTATGAAACGTGCTTGTTGTTTGGGTAACTCAATTAAATATGCCATTACTTTACCTATCATGAAATATACTAGTTGATTAACAAAGTTCATTAACTGTGCCCAATTTAACGTGCCAATTTAACGTGCCAATTCTTAAAATAAGATTTTGAAACGTGGTAGTTCTTTAACCAAGATTATAATAAGTGCTAGTTGTGGAAATCAATTTAACGTGACAATTCTTGAAACAAGATAATAAAACGTACTAGTTGTTAATATGTAAATAAGTTAAACATTACTTAAACTAAGATTATGAAACATGCTAGCTGTTTGACTAGGATTTTAAAACGTGCCAACTACAGTGAAACCCTTAATAACGAATACATCGAAAGAATTTATCAAATGTCGTCTTGACAATTTTTCAATGAGTTTTACACTATATTACGTAAATTTCAGTATTTGCGAAAATAAATAAATAACCATCAATATGCGGGAACAGTTTTAAAGAATTCCATATAATCATTTAATTAAACTAAATATCTGCAAGATTCCATTATCAGAAAGTGAAGAATACGACATTTTATGAATTCTTTCGATGTATTCGTTATTAAGGGATTCAAGGTATTAAACTATTTTCATAAAAACTTGATTTTTCGTGGATTTACACTTTAAAACTTTCCTTATTTCTAAATTAATTTTATAGGACCTGGAGAAATCTAGCTGTGAACCTGAACATAAAGAGATTGCAGATTCCATAAAGTTTAATGATCCTCTACTGTATATCTATACTAGTGGAACTACTGGACTACCAAAGGTACACATGGAATGAGAAAGGTCTCTGATTGATGCAAGGTTAATAAAAAATGGATAATTTCAACTTTTACAGCTTTAACGAGTCACAGAATTATTTTAATATTTCTCACTTATGTCGTCTTAAATTTATCTTATATTCTGAAAATCGATACATTAAATACATATTCAGGGTTACACTTACACACAAATGATAAGACTTCAAAAACGTATTCAGACATTGTTTTAAACTTTTACAGATCTAACAAAATTATTCTAATACTTCTCACTTTTTATCATTTTGTATTTAATTTGAAGACTAAATCACTAAATTGATTATTGATATTTAATAAGTTTAAGGTCGCTTTTAAAGTCTCATTCTTTCTATAGATAACCCTGTATAGAAAATATAAATACTGTTGGTTTCTTTGTTTTAATTAAGCGTAGGCTATACGGATTGGGTTTTAATTTAGTATGATACCTTAGTTACAACTTCGAGAAATTTTTTTCATTGTTATATATTTACAAAGAGTGGATACTCGAAGATAAAAAAAAAACAATCTTATATTGTTACTAAAAAGAGCAAAAGAACCCTGGTTTTTGAAAATTCGAAAAAATAATTTGATCCTTGAATACTCATGTGAGGCTAATATTTCCCAAAACATCGTGACAAATCTTAGAGATTTACGCTTGTCAATATTTTATTTTATATTTTCAAGCTTTTGGTTAATAACTACTTCATCCATGGGGAAGAGTTGAAAGTTTGTTGAAAACAAGCATAAAAAAGTTAAAATGTTGCCTAGAAATTATACAATTAACAAACCTTTCCGTCTAAATAGCCGAAGTTTTTCCAATAAAAATGAAGAATTCTATTTTATTTTCAGGCTGTTGTAATTAAACATTTTCGCCAGCTCTTTGTAATGGTTGCAGCTCATAAAGCCATAGGTATGCTTTGATTACAGGGAGTAATAAAAACAGGATAAATGAGTTGAGTTTATGCCACAAATCCAAATTTTACAATACCTATATCTCAACAACCAGATGATTCATACCTTTCATATTTCAAACTTACATTGTTTGATTCACCAGAATTCATAGTTCGAAATATCTACGGTCTACGACATTTGGTTTTAAAGAAATCGGGTTTAAAAAATTCAAGTTTGTGGCAAAGACTCAATTCCTTTTATTAATCCTATTCCACAGGGTGTCCCAATAAACAAAGAATAATGAAATTGAGTGACAACTTTTAAAATCGTCTTCTGTATCAGCTTTATTCGAAAACTTGATTTACTGAAGGAACGACCAGAGTTACCTGCAAAGGATGAGACTTCAGAGAAGACTGTACGGAATTTAATCTGCCATTTTCCTTATATTCATGATTAAATATGATTCCCTGCAACTATAAACTTACCTTTTTCTTTCACAAATTATTAAAAAGCTATTTAAAGGCCACATTTAAGGCATAAGATTAGATTATAAGTATGGACAGTAATTTTTGAAGTCGTCTTTACAGTCTTATTCATTGTGGGTAACCCTGCACTTAAAACAGTGAAAACTGTATTCCCCTTGTTCTTGTATTTCCAAAATGTGGTCTGCCTCATAATTTTTTAATCATTCCCTGCATTTTCTTAAGATACGATGAAAGAAGAACAGCTTTTGGATGTACTAGAGTCTTTTAATCTAATTTACAACTGCTTACAGTTAGAGGATTAACATTACGTCGACAAACTCTTCAATTAAATGGACCAGAGCTGGGAACTTTAGAATGGTGGATATCGAGATCAATGCTTGATCCTCCTTTTTCTTAATCTCGAGACTAACCTAATCTTAATTGTACTTGTATCCTGAAAAGCGTATAAAACCAACCAATCAGAGTCGCGAATCAGAAGCCGGAAAATTTGAAATTTTGCGCGCCATTTAAGGATAATATACAGAAACGGGAGGGACTCTCTAATTTTGAAAAACCGCGGTTTTTGATTTTGAGTGGATTAAGCAAGAAATCAAAAGTTTCCACATTGGATATTCGGATTAAGCAGTCGGGATTAAAGGTCCCATTCTAAAGTTCCCATCTCAGCTCCATTTAAAGATAGCAATACTCGATTCAACGGTTCCCTTAAAAGCGTTATCGGGATTAAATATGAATTAAATATCAAATTTTATAATTTTGAAAAATTATTATTTTTAATGGTGAGTTCTCTCAAAAGTGAATCGCGCATTATTAAACATTTGGAAACCTAGAAAAACGATAATGTTTTCCATAATATTGATCAGAGCAAGGTTATAATGCAAGGAAAGTTATTTTAGAGGTGTACGCAACTTTTGTACTGCAGTGTACTGTCACTGGGCGGTAATGTAAACACAAGACGGATGTAGAAGCCTGACATGGGATCAATCTTTCACATAAAAAATCAATTAAATATTCTGGTCATAAGAAACTATTATGTGAATTATCAAAAAATTTCAAAATTAAATGCTTTTATCCTCCTCGGATACTAAACGAACACTGATGCAGCTATTCTTGTTTACAAATTCCGCCCAGAGAGAACTGGTTTCAATCCGTAAGCAGAGTATACGCGAATGCAATTAACTTTCCTTGTATTATAGCCTTGGATCAGAGAAAGGTCTCAAGGGTATCGTTGTAAATCGGGCATTGACATGTTTGTCTTGAAGGTCACTTGAAATTATGTTTAAAGGTTTGTCCAGTGATGATGTTATTTATTGCCATTTGCCGCTTTATCACTCAAGCGGGGGACAGATTGCCACCGGCAGCGCCGTCATGTATGGCACCAAGACCTTCATCAAGAAGAAGTTCTCCGCCAGCGCTTTCTGGAAGGACTGCGTCACCTACAATATCACGGTCAGATTTTAGAAAATATTAATAGGAATGTTGGAATGTTTACTAATTTTAAATATTTTTTTCTTCTAGATTTTCGTTTAAAATAACGCAGTCTCTTTAAACATTAATTTTATGATACAGTGGGCCACATAAAACTTTGGAATAGGAAGATGACTTTTAGGCTCGAGTTATGATTTGAAATTATAGTTCAATAAATATGGAACAGGAACCTAGCAGTGTACACAGACCCATTTCACTTTACAAGTCAATTTTCAATCAATACATATTAAAACTATTTGTTAGTGAACAACATTATAACACTAAAATTTTTAAGGATCTGTTTGGTGCACCGTCCCATTTGTCTGATTATTAATTTTATAGTCTGTGTGTATACTGTGCAGCTTTCTCTAGCTGCTTTAAAGTCTGCCCGGTTCTTGAAATAAACAAGATTGCTTAAATTGTGTTTCCTATTCCACAGTTATATGCGTCTCACTGCGTAAACGACTAGAATTTCTTTCTAACCCCGTAATTTTTGTTCTCTAGATTAACACATAAATTAAATATGGAGGAAACTTAAACCGAATAACACGGAAAAATTATTTTATTATATTTTTGATTAAATTTATTTTTGCATTGTTTATTGTTCCTTCAACCTTGCTTTATATGGTATAGGCCACCCAATATATCGGGGAAATATGCAGATATCTCCTGGCATCTCCCTCCCATCCAGAGGAGAAATTACATCAAGTTTCCAGGTACTCTTTACACCTTTTAAAGTATCGTAGATCTTGAGGCTTGATTTCGATATCTAATGTGGACATTTTGTAACCACGCAGAAGATTATACAATAACTTTATACCTTCGGGGTATAACCATTAACCAAACTATCCTGGGTATTCGAAGAGGAATTAGAATGATTTTCAACTACCAAATTTACATGTATGCATATTTACATATTTACATATCAAGACAAACATCGGTAAATTGACTAATATCTTCGTTAATTTAGTAACTTTGTTAGAATAAATTTAGGAAAACCCAGAGTGTAAGTAAACTAATTCTAGCATAAAGGAACTGAGTACTTGCCACAAACTAAAATTTTCGAATCCTTATATCTGAGGATTAGAAAATACTACCAGTTTGTGGCAAGTACTCAGTTCCTTTATCAATTATTGAAGACAAGCTTATGCAGGGTTACCCACAAAGAACTTTTTAAACGACAAAAAACAGAGGTTAAATTAGTCATCTACATATAAATACTTCATTAAATACTAATACATAACTCTATTTAAAATATTCAATGAAATCTGTTAGGTCGTCTTTAAATTTTCATTCTTTGTGGGTAAACCTGTAGTTCCCATTTTACTTTAATTTTGTTTTTTGTTGATCTCGCATCAAAAAGTCTGAAAACTTTAACTTTTCTTAAAAGAAATGGTTAGTTCTACAACATATTTAAAAGTTTGTTGCATTTGATTTGATTTTTTCTTGTTATTTCTAACTGTTCCCTTTTTTCAAGCCTTCAAAACATCTCAAATTAAATTATAAATTCTAAAAAAGAAGCTAAAACGGATATTCTAAATTAAAGCCATAGATCAGTAACAATACAGATAGAACACTAGATGTCGTCTTTTCAAGATTTAAGGGTTTTTCGTGCACAATAACCCTGAGGCAGAGGCCCAAATGAGTTTCGCGCATGCTCTCTCTCTGTCTTGTAATTCAACACGGCAAACAAGAAACTTCTTTGAACTTCTGCCTCAGGGTTATTGTGAACGAAAAACCACTAAATTTTAAAGAGACGACATCTGGTGTTCCATCTGTAGTGTTATTAATCTATGATTAAAGCAAATAATAATGACTGCACTTTTATCCAAATAAATTCAAGATTAGACCTAAATTCACAGGAAATGCTCGTTTATAAATATTTGAATGATAATTTTACGAAATCTTTAGAATGTTTGGGAACGGTTTACGTCCTCAGATCTGGGAAGAATTTGTATCCAGGTTTAATATCAAGAATATCTCAGAGTTCTATGGAGCAACGGAGGGAAACTCTAATGTAGGTAGGATACGGAGATACAGAGAGTAACTTATATCATAGTGGCAGATAGAGATACGGAGGGTAACCTATACAACTGTATGATACTGAGATACAGAGAGTAACTTATACATTGGTAGGATACGGAGATAGGGAGAGTAACTTTTACATTAGTAGGATAAGAGGATACGGAGAGTAACTAATACATTGGTAGGATACGGAGAAACGGAGAGTAACTTAAACCTTGGTAGGTTAAGAAGATACGGAGAGTAACCTATACATTGATAGGATACGGAGATACGGAGAGTAACTTATACATTGGTAGGATAAGAAGATACGGAGAGTAACCTATTCATTGGTAGGATACGGAGATACAGAGAGTAACTCATACATTGGTAGGATAAGAGGATACGGAGATACAGAGAGTAACTCATACATTGGTAGGATATGGAGATACGGAGAGTAACCAATACATTGGTAGGATAAGAAGATACGGAGAGTAACCTATTCATTGGTAGGATATGGAGATACGGAGAGTAACCAATACATTAGTAGGATAAGAAGATACGAAGAGTAACCTATTCATTGGTAGGATACGGAGAGTAACCAATCCATTGGTAGGATACGGAGATACAGAGAGTAACCAATAAATTAGTAGGATAAGAAGATAAGGAGAGCAACCAATACATTGGTAGGATACGGAGATACGGAGAGTAACTTATACATTGGTAGGATAAGAAGATACGGAGAGTAACCAATACATTGGTAGGATACGGAGATACGGAGAGTAACCTATACATTGGTAGGATACGGAGATACGGAGAGTAACCAATACATTGGTAGGATAAGAAGATACGGAGAGTAACCAATACATTGGTAGGATACGGAGATACAGAGAGTAACCTATACATTGGTAGGATACGGAGATACGGAGAGTAACCAATAAATTAGTAGGATAAGAAGATAAGGAGAGCAACCAATACATTGGTAGGATACGGAGATACGGAGAGTAACTTATACATTGGTAGGATAAGAAGATACGGAGAGTAGCCAATACATTGGTAGGATACGGAGATACGGAGAGTAACCTATACATTGGTAGGATAAGAAGATACGGACAGTAACCAATACATTGGTAGGATACGGAGATACAAAGGATAACTTATTAATTAATAGGATACGGAGATACTGGGGTTAACTTTAACAAAGGTAGGATACCGAGATACGGAGAGTAACCTATATAAAGGTAGGACACGGAGATAGGGAAGGATACGGAGATTAAAAACTCTTATTTTCTAAAGAAGAAGATTTTTTTGAATTTAATATTTTCAGTGAATAATGAGAATAAGGTTGGAGCTGTGGGATTTGTAGGAGTTATTGAACCACGTTGGCTTCAGGAACGTTTAAGATTTATTTCAACTTTTAAACCAAATATATAATTCATTTGTATCAATATAATGCTCGGAACCATTTCTCCCACAACAATTTCATTTTTAGCACAAAATACGAAAATACGAGTATTATATAAATTTTATTTCTCAAATAATCATCAAATCAAATTAAAAGGTTTGAAGTCAATTTCAAATTAGAAAGTTCCTACCTATTATTTAATAATTAATTCATTAATCCTAATTAAATCTGAATTTGTTAAGTTTAGGAGATCCTACTTCCTCTGATGATAATTAAGGTTGATCCCGTTTCTGGTGAACCTATCAGGGATCAGGATGGATGCTGTATTCGTTGCAAACCAGGAAACCCATGAAAATAAAACAAATGTCGGCCATTTTTAAACTAAAAAGGCGCCTCATTTATTTGGGTGAAAAATTCGCCATTTTAATTTTTCTTTAATAGATCCAAATTAAATAAAAATATTAGGTTTTAAAGCAATAATTATTTTCCTGGCGGGAAGGAGAGGCAGGGGAGTTTGTTGGAAAGATTGTAAAAGGAGATCCTATCAAAGAATTTAATGGATACAAGGAAACCAAATCCTTTTCTTATTCTCACTCATCCATTCGAGGATTTATTTATATTGTACATTGTGCATTTACAGAGTCCTAACAATTTTGAGCAAGCATTTTAAGTTAACCTACATTTATAAAATTGTTTGGTTGTTTAAAGCTGAAAGTTACGCTTTGTTGTAACCTTGACAAGATTAAGTAATTTCATAAACAAAAGACCCATTAGGTCCCTTGAAATTAGTTCTGTTCAAACAACGTACAATATTTTTTCCAAGGTGGGTGAATTATACTTCTTCATCAAGGGTGTATACGGGGGGCAGTGCCTCCCACTAGACCTGTGAATGCCCCCATAGAACCCACTTTTTAAATCTTAAACTGAGGAGTGAAGAACATAACAAAAATAGTGTGCAAAAAAGTTTAAAAACTGAGCTCATATCGGTGGTCGGTATTAATTATAATTGACGTTTCTCTAAGGGTTATTAATATTGAAAAATATTATACGAATTGGCTTCCTGTGAACAACAATTAGATATTTTTTGGAAATTGTTTCGTCCGAAATAGGCATACAAATACAAAGTTAGAATCACCTCAATTTTTTTCATTTTTCGTCATGTTCAAAATTTCATAAACTCGCCTTTAAAATTATTCAATTTAATTCAGTAAATCCACGAAGCATGATCAACTCATCTAATCCTATTGATGGAGAAATATGAAAATATTTTCAATAAGAAACCTATACGTGGTAATATTTCAACTTTAATAAATACTATCTTGGGAACCCAGCTGGCCTTTAAGAAAAACTATAAAAGTCAACCCACAATCCAACAAAAGAGGAGATCTCGATATGTACAATTCTAAAGTGTTCAGAGCTGAAAACTTTAGAATGTGATATCCTTAATCCCGATCTGTTAATTAATCTGGAGATTAAGTTCATGAGGAATATAAGCAATATTTAATCTGGAGATTAAGCAAAAGAGTGGATTAAGCATTAATCCTGATATCCACCTTTCTAAAGTTTTCAGCTCTGCTCTTGTAAACCTTTGATATTTGAAAATTTAACTAAATGATCTTGCAAATGAATTTGAAATAATATCAGTTTGAAAAATTTTAATGAAGAAAATTAGAGTGTGCAGCGAGTAATCAGTTCCTTTGTTAAAAACATCATCATCTAAACAAAGGTGTTTATATTATATACCACCCTCCCCCTCCCTCCCTTCCTCCACCTCCCCCTCCCCCTCCTGAGATTGAGGTTTTAGCCAAATCACGGTTATCAAAACAGAGGTGTTCAAAACCAAATAAATAAAAGATCTTGGATTATCTCAGAGTAAGAGTGATACAGAGAAGAAGATTCTAAGAAACGTGGTGAGGAGAGGGGACATGTATTTCCGCTCCGGGGATATCATGTGTATGGATGAGTTCGGTTGGATCTATTTTATGGATAGAGCAGGAGACACGTTCAGGTAAGGGGTGCATTCATTAATGGCATTTTTAATAACATTAAAACAAGTTTTTATTTCATACCTTTTTAGTTTTCAAAATAATGAAAATCTAGCAATATCATAATACATGAAAAATTATAAAACCTAAAAATTCAATTATCTTTAAATCTTCTTCCAAGCATGAAATTTGAAAGAAGAAATAATTTATCTTTCAGAAATATACGCCAATCTTCACAATTATTTTTTTAAATTGTTCAATTGTAATATTTTTTTTCCTTGATTGATTTTAGAACTATATACAAGTGAACATTGAACAGAGGTTTACTGCAATGTCTATATAAATATTGTACAAGGTTAACCTCAAAGGAAAATAATTAAATGACCCGAAAAACAATCTAAAGGGTGAACTTTGTCGTCTGTCTTGAATCAATGAGAAGTTGAAAACAAAAGTAGAATTTAGAAAATTGTCTCATATTTTCTGGTTCCTCCTGTACTTTACTGTACTGTACTGTACTGTACTGTACTGTACTGTACTGTACTGTACTGTACTGTACTGTACTGTACAGTACTGTACTGTACTGTACCGTTAAGGTGGAAGGGTGAGAATGTTTCAACTGCAGAGGTTGAGGTTACTGTTAGTAAACTTCTTGATGGACTTGCAGTTGTAGCTTACGGAGTACAGGTGGGACATATTCATAGGGTTCAGGTGGGATATATTTATAGGGTTCAGGTGGATGTTTAATAAATATATTTTCTTCTATTCAATCAAACTTTAGATAATCTTGAATCTACCAAGGGTTGTTGTATTGTTATGTTGTTCAATAAATATATTTTCTTCTATTCAATCAAACTTTAGATAATCTTGAATCTACCAAGGGTTGTTGTATTGTTATGTTGTTTAATAAATATATTTTCTTCTATTCAATCAAACCTTAGATAATCTTGAATCTACCAAGGGTTGTTGTATTGTTATGTTGTTCAATAAATATATTTTCTTCTATTCAATCAAACCTTAGATAATCTTGATTCTACCAAGGGTTGTTGCATATTCATAGGGTTCAAGTGGGATATATTTATAGGGTTCAGGTGGGATATATTTATAGAGTTCTGATGGAAAATATTTCCAGATCCCTGGTCTGGAGGGTAGAGCCGGCATGGTTTGTATCCAGGCGGAGAGTAGTTCAATAGACCTGGAGAAGATGATCTTAGAACTATCCAACCAGCTCCCGTCCTATGCTAGACCAATCTTCTATAGGTTCAGCCAGGACCTTGATATTACAGGTATACTTTGCCGAGGTTCATATACAGTACCAGACATTTGAAATGGCCGGTACATGATATCTCATGGTCTCTTGACGCCCCTGTGCTCAAAGTAGAAGTTGTTTACGGCGGCTGACGAAAGCCGAGATTGATAGTTTTCTTAAATGTATTTTGAATTATCTTTACCTTCTCTTATCACTTTTTGTTAGTAAAACCCGATCAAAAAGTATTAAGTTACTGTCTGGTTTTTAAGAGAGACACAAGGATAAATAAAGATAAAGAGCCGTCATATAGAGCAAGATTGATCAAATCTAATAATGTTTTAACCAATAAGTCCTGATATCCTAGAGTCCCTGTGCACTATAGTTTCAATAAAAGTGAATATTTCCATTTACTGTTATAGCATCGATATAAGGATTTATCTCTGATTGGATAATGAGATAGATAGAAAGATAGATGTTACCGCCATGCAATTTCTATTGGTTCAGAATAGACACCAAAATATGGCTGAACCCTGATTGGATCAGGTGCTAATGGACTCGGCGTACAGGAGTGTGTGATATTAATTTCATTATGATCAGGTAATAATTAATCTTTGCGAGAAAAAAAGTGAAGTATTTGGTTTTTTTCAACACCCTGCAGGTGATGGGACCCGACCTGATAAACCTGGCCAACAGCATGCCCAGGAGGATCCTGAAGGATTTCAGGACAAATAGCACACTTGTATGCCGATTCCATTAGTGCCTGATCCAATCAGGGTTCAATCATGTGTTTGGTGTATATTCTGAACCAATAGAAATTGCATGATGGTAACATTTATCTTTCTATCTATCTTATCATCCAATTAGAGATGAATCCTTCAATCAGCTTTAAGCAGTAAATGGTAATATTTACTTCTAAACCGAAGTGATAGAGGGATGGCTAAATACTAGCTTTCTTTAATTTATGTATTTAACAAAAATATCATTACAAATTATCCTTTTAAACTCATTTATTTGAGACACCGGTCAATTCAAATGTCGGGTAGATACTGTATATTCCCCGCGCCTTGCGTTAAATTTTGATTTTTGTTGAAGAGATAAAAATAGGAGTATTAAAAGTAAAATGATAGTATTACTTAAATGATTTGTGTTTGTTGTATTTAAAAAACATTATTAAACTGACCTTTTAAAGGGACTGTAAAGGAAAAATGAAAGGGGGTATAGGCTGAAAGCTAATCACTTTAGCTCTTGATCGCGACCCATGTAATATTATCTGATGTCTCCTGTTTCGAGAAATTGAAATAAAACTGTGTCAAATTTATGCGAAAATTCATATATGTAAAATTTTGAAAATCTTAAACTTAAATCACGTGACCAGAACTATCACCAATGGCAGAGCAGTATTCTGGTCACGTGTCTCCGCCTGTATCATGTGACAACTTTACTGCACTGACATTGGTGAAATTTCTGGTCAAGTAATACGGACTTATAAAAAATATTATGAATCAAATCTATGAAAAATAGAAATAACAAATATAAAATTAGAACTGGAGTAAAACTAAGTTACAATTAGCTTTCTCTGGGATATCATCGTTTTCAGATTGGTTGCTTATTTGCTCAATATGATCTTTTTAAACCCACTACTTTTATACAAAATTGTATATAAATTAATTTTCGTATAAAATTGACAAAGTTGTATATCAATTTCTCGAGATAGGAACATCAGACATAACTTTCATGGGTCGTGATCGATAGCTAAAGTGATTAGCTTTCAGCCTATACCCTCTTTCATTTTTCCTTTACAGTCCCTTTAACAAGTTACGTGTCAGATTCCCAAAATATTAAAGATATATTTTTTTATAAAATTAGTCATTTTAAATTGCGGTTTCCGTTTAAACGAGAGCTGCGGATATATGCTACAGATATAAAGAGGAAATTGACCGAATTTATCTCATCTGAGAAACAAAAACGACAATATCTAACTCATTCTTTCTCAGATAAAGATGTTAATTGAAGAAAGGGTTGACCGGAAATTACGTATACAGTCCCCTTAATTTTCTTTTTTTCGTTAGGTCCGAGCTTAGTTTTAAGTTTTGTATCAGACCACACCTTTGGTTTTAAACCTTGGGAATTGAGTCATTAACCCCAAACTCTGATTTTCTAATCCCCACATCTTTGGAACCCGATGTCGTTTACCTTTGATATTTAACACTGAATTTAGACCAAATAATAATAAGTTTGAAATACCAAAGGTTTATCAGTGTTGGAAAGATACAAGAATTAGAAAATTTGAGTTGTGTAACAAAAACTCAGTTCCTTTGTCTTAATTTAAACAAAAAGAAAGAAAAATAGAAAATTTGAATATTTTTGATAAGATTAACAACACTGGAGACTTTTAGATAAACGTGATTAGTTAAAACATATTCTGTCTATTTAAAATTTTACTTGTAGGAACCTACAAACTGAAGAAGGTTAAGCTATGCGAGGAGGGGTTTAATATATGCTGTGTATCCGACCCTATCCTATTCCTGGATAGAAACCTCAAGCTACATACACTAAACCAGGATATTTACAACTCAATCATAGACGGGACAATCAAACTTTAGATAATCTTGAATCTACCAAGGGTTGTTGTATTGTTATATTGTTCAATAAATATATTTTCTTCTATTCAATCAAACTTTAGATAATCTTGAATCTGCCAAGGGTTGTTGTATTGTTATGTTGTTCAATAAATATATTTTCTTCTATTCAATCAAACTTTAGATAATCTTGAATCTACCAAGGGTTGTTGTATTGTTATATTGTTCAATAAATATATTTTCTTCTATTCAATCAAACTTTAGATAATCTTGAATCTACCAAGGGTTGTTGTATTGTTATATTGTTCAATAAATATATTTTCTTCTATTCAATCAGAAATTGTTCATTGATCTAGAAAAAATCAGACATGAAATAGAAAAAGAAATAAGACATTTTTCTCTATAAACTTATCAATTAATGTAATTGCCTTATGTTATTGATAGTACCACATGTTTTTACTTAACTTCTTGATTTCAACTCAAATACAAATAATGTGAAATAAGTAAACTTACGATTAAAAAACATATTTTTACATAAAATTCATTCATTTAAAATCTAGCAAAAATATAAAATTATCCAAAAAGTCTTAAAAAGTCTGTTGTATTTAATTTTTAAATTCACTTGAATATAATTTTCATTTGAAAATGTACGGAAAATATCCGTGAAAACGTACCCGTTTTACCGTAGTAAATTTGAATTTCCGATTCGGGTCAATCTTTCCGGTCCCAGTTTGTACTGCACCGCACGGACATTTGGTTGATAAAGAAGACAATCAACAGGACTAGTCGGTAAAACAAGGTTTTTGCGGTCAGACTTTGTGCATCATATAGGTTGAACTTACTTTCACTAAAGGGGCAGAGGTGCGTGAATGGGTCAAAAAGTTGAGAGTAAAAAACTTCCACGCTGGGAAAGAATTAGTTCACCTTATTCCGTCCATTTACAAGGTTTCAGCTAAATTGAACCTAATCTTTTCTGTAATTTAAAAAATGTTCTCTCCTTTTATTATTTTTCTGTTTAAAATTAACTCCACGACAACTAAATAAAAAAATAAATTCTTTTATTTTTATTCTAAAAAACATTTTAATTTTCCTCTAAATTGCTACAGTTTCGCGTTTGATAGATTTAATACAGTGGTCAGCGTTTACACCAATACAATGAAAACGACTTTTTTATGTAAGTTTTGATTTTTAGCTTAAACTTTTTTCAAAATATAAGTTTACATGTTTATGTGTATCCATGCTGTTAATCAAGCTCGGTAGAAATTAAAAATTAAAATCGAAAGTCGTCTTCAATGTGTTGATATAGGTTGTGAATTAAAAGCAGAAAATGTAAAACTCTGTGAAAGAATGAAGCATAACCACCACTCACGAGATACTATCCTTTCTTCAGAACAATGGGTCGCAAAGTCAGCAGTTATAATATCTCAATAACATCTCTACAGACTACAGAGTACTACAGAAAAGAAAATGTGGAGCAAAAATATTTATTTTTTAGAAAATTCATATTTTTTCAAACTACTTTCTGGGATCGAGAAATCTCCTTTCATGGAGTAGTGATTACTCCCTGGGATCCATCATGGAGTATTAACTACTCCCTAGGATCCATCATGGAATAGTAAATACTCCCTGGAATTCATCATGGAGTATTAACTACTCCCTAGGATCTATCAAGGAATAGTAAATACTTCCTGGAATTCATCATGGAGTAGTGAATACTCCCTGGAAACCATCATGGAGTAGTGAATACTCCCTGGGATCCATCATGGAATAGTAAATACTTCCAGGGATCCATCACGGACCAATAAATGCTCCCTTGGATACATCCTGGAGTAGTAAAAACTACCTGAGATCCATCATGGAGTAGTAAATACTCACTGCGATCCATTCTGGAGTATTAAACACTTACTGGGATCCATCATGGAGTTGTACACAACCCCTGGGGTCCGTTTTGGAGTAGTTAATATTCCCTGGGATCCATAATGGAGTATTAGCGACTCCCTGGGATCCATCATAGAGTAGTAAATACTCCCTTGGAAACATCCTGGAGTAGTAAACACTCCCACTAATTCATCTTGGAGTAGTGAATACTCCCTGGGATCCATCACTGAGTAGTAAATGCTCCCTTGGATACATCGTGGAGTAGTAAATACTCCCTGGATCCATCACGGAGTAGTAAATACTCCCTAGGATCCATCACAAAGTATTAAATACTCCCTAGGATCCATCACAAAGTAGTAAATACTCCCTTGGATACATACTGGAGTATTAAACACTTCCTGGGATACATCATGGAGTTGTAAACACACCCTGGGATCCATCATGGAGTAATTAATACTTCCTGAGATCCATAAATTCATTTTTTTGGTTTTGTTTTAGAAATGGTTGGGTTAGGTTGTATATAGTATTTACGACGTAATTTTAGATAATCTTGAATCTACCAAGGGTTGTTGTATTGTTATGATGTTTAATAAATATATTTTCTTCTATTCAATCAAACTTTAGATAATCTTGAAAGGGAGGAGTATAACAAGACAGCCTCGAGAAACCATCCCTACTCTACTCTAGTGTTCTCCGGCCTGTATTCAGAGTAGGATAAATTCTCCGGGTTGTGTTTAAAACAGGAGAAGATAATCCTATACCATGTCAAGAGTCCAGAGTGTTGATACTGTCGTCCAACTCTCTGTATCGTGCAAGTAAGAAAAAAAAATTGAAAATAATTTTTGCAAAAAAAAATATTTAATCTTTTTTTTATATTTATAACCTTTATTTTGGCATGTTTGCAACGCTAAAATGACAAAACGGATATTTCAAGCATTTTCTTTATTTCATGTTTAGAATTTTTGTTGCTTAGTATTTTTTAAAAATTTTTGTCGTTGACATGCAAAAATTTCCTTAAACGTGTAAAAAATTGCTTATCTTTATATCTGTCTATCTTTATATTCTTATTTCAATCTATCTATCTATTTATCTATCTATCTATCTATCTATCTATCTATCTATCTATCTATCTGTGGGCCAAAATTGCATTTGGTTTTGAAAAGTTAAATAAAATTCTTGGATCTTGATTTGATCAAATAAAAAGTTTCAAATAATCTAATATCACACATCATAAACTAAATTAACTAAAACATATCTTTAAATCATCCGAAATATAAATTATCCGTCGATATCCGTCGATATCACTCGATATCCCTTGATTTCAATATTAAAGATTGCTTTGCCTATATAGGCTTAAAATTCCCAACCAAGCAGAAAATGATTTGCTTTGAAAGGAGATTTCGCGGATTTTTAACGGGGGGTGAATCAAGACTTTAGAACTGTTTGCAACCCGGACTATTTTTGGCCTGAATTGCTTTGTTTTAGCTGGATCTGCCAAATTAATTCCCGTCGCTGTGTGAACAGTTTATAAAAAACACAACGTGATACAACCCATTTCGAAATAATCTGTCATTCCTCTTAATAGTTAATGATATTCCGTTTGTTATACAAATGTTTTAAAAACAAATTGAAGCCAAATGACACAAAAAAATTTTTTTTTAAATGTTTACTCATATTTTAGAGGCTTAGGTAACATGTTTTTAGTCAATTAAATTTCTATACTTTTCATTATTTTTCTCATGAAAAAGTGCCTTGATTCCTGCTGTTTAGGCCTGTTTTTTAAATGTGTTCAACCCTAATGAACAGGTGTTCGGTAAAGTTCAAATTTTCAATCAATCCTTCTCATTGAAATATCTTTGAAGAGGAAAAATGACGTAATTTTAAGCAATTTCATATTTACATCAGATGCAGGGTTAGCCACAAAGAATGAGACTTTAGGAACGACTGTACGGAATTCATTTAGATCTTCTTACAACATTGATGCATGTTCTATTGTTTTTTTGCTAAATCATTTAGACTTGTAGACTATAAAGACCAAAGACAAAGTTTAGCCGTTTATATTTAGAGTTAAAGAATTCCAGGTCGTCATTAGAGTCTTATCTTTAGAGGGTAGCACTGTACTTCTGAAATTTTCTTCGGTAATATTGTGTAATAGGACCCATTCCGGCCATTTTCTCACTTTTTTTTTGATGAAATTCTTGACACACTTTTCAGAAATTCTAATTTCCGATGGAAAGAACGACGCGAAGAAAAAGTTTAAAGGTACGCTTGTGAATTGTTAATAGTTTTCTTCTAATGCTGTACAGGATACTGGGTACAGGATACTGGGTACAGGATACTGGGTACAGGATACTAGGTACAGGATACTGGGTACAGGATACTAGGTACGATTGTGAATTGTTAATAGTTTTCTTCTAATGCTGGGTCATTAAAGAAAATGTCTGATTTGTCCGTTATGGTCAATTTTGTGTGTATCATGTTCTGCTTTATATTTAGAATATTGCACAATATTACACAGTGGAACAATATTACACAGTGGAACAATATTACACAGTGGAACAAAAGAGAACCCAGCAAAGCGTAAAAAGTTTCACTTTAAAGGGACTGTCATTAAATTTGAAGTTAACCCTCTACTTAAAGAGGAACTAAAGCCCGACTCTAACTGTTCCCTTGAATTCTTAATAATGTGGTAGATAACGTTGTGTTTCTACATTGAAAAGTGTAATTTATTAAAGAGAAAATCTCTTTCGTTTTTAATCATACAAAGCTTTCATGGATACCGTAGTGAATAGAACATGCCACTATATGATGAAAAATTACATCAAAAATCCATAAATTATATTTGATGATGTGGTGAATAAGCTGGAGGATAAGCTCTAGTTTTTCTCTTGAATTTTCTAAGCATCATTATATATTTATCAAAACAATATTTTATATATTTGTTGTATTGTTATATTGTTCAATAAATATATTAGGGACTGTAAGCATAATTTTAAATGACCCGATTTACAATTTACTGCAGTAGAAAAGCCACAATTAAAAATAATCAGTTTTTAAAATTATAAACATTGATATCTAATTCATACTTGATCAGACAAAGCTTTTAAGAGTACCGTTGTTAATCTTTGTATGGAGGGTCGCTTAAAGCTACACTAACAGTCTAACAGTCCCTTTATAAGAGATCCATATTTCAAGTTTTAAAACAGAATTTACCCCGTCAAAAAAATAATTAAACAAAACATTTCTCCCAAATCTTTCAAAACTGAGCATAAACCAAAACTTAAAATCTAACCTATTGTTACCTATACACCTAACTCAAAACTAGCTCAACATCTTAGATATTAAAATTACTTATTTCTTCTGTTAGGCCTAAGCCTAAATTTTCTTTTGATTATTTGTTTATGTTTAAGAATTGAAAATATTTTGAAATATGTTTGATAAACGTTTCCTTTTGCTCCTGACATTTTAATATTTATTTTACGTAGAAACCTTTCATATAGGAACATAATACTTTGAAGCAATACATCAGTAATGTTGAATTTCAGTAATTTATTCAAAATACTTACTTCTATCTCTAAAATGTACCCCCATCTCTAATATTTACTCCCATCTCTAATATATATACTTTGGTTCTCATTTTGTCTGTTTGTTTGTGTGTTTGTTTGTTTGTTTGTATCCAATTAACGTCAAAACGGCTAAATCGATCGGGCCCAAATTTTGTGTGGAACTTCACATGTCCCCAGGGAAGGTTTATAGATGATCAAAATTTTCAAAATTTTGCCTCCAACAAAATTCGATCTATATTAAATTTTGAAAATCCACAAAATTTCTGATATTTACTCCCATCCCTAATACTTACTCCCATCCCTAATGCTTACTCCCATCCCCAATACTTACTCCCATCCCTAATACTTACTCCAATTCCTAATACTTACTCCCATTCCTAATACTTACTCCTATCTTTAATATTTACTCCCATTCCTAATATTTACTCCCATTCCTAATACTTACTCCCATTCCTAATACTTACTCCTATCTTTAATATTTACTCCAATCTCTTTTCTGTCGATTATTTCAGTGGATCATTAAAATATTTGCCTCGTGAAAAAAATCCGAGTAGATCAAAGCAGTTTTAAGCTTATCACTTGTTTATGTTTATTGGGACACCCTGTATTTTTCTATTCTTTTGTTTAAAGAAAATACAAAGATGGATATAAAGTTTTAAACTTTCTTTAAAGTTTAAAACTTGTAAATGTTGGATAATATTCTGCTAATATTTAACATTTCATACATTTCATTTTTCTTTTCCTAGTTTTTATGAACTTAAATCCTAAGGAAAATGTTATTGAATTGTGAGGATAAGAAACCTATTGTTTAAAATCTATGCTGTCCTTAAAGAGACTGTAGACGTAATTTACAGTTACCCTTCATGTAAAAAACTAACATGTCTGATTCACAATGGTATCATCCAGGAAGAATGAGATATTTCTCTTTTTACTCAGAAAATTGATTCTTTTAACTGTGCGGTTTCTAAAGTGTTTTGCGAATTATTTTTACTGAGACATTGTCAGAATTCTTGCCGTTTTAAGAAAATAAATGACGATATTTTTCTCTTTATTACTCAGATACAGGTTTAAAGGGATTCATTGTGAATGGAACATGTCACACTTTATTCAGATTTATTATTATTTTTTAGTTAGAAAATTTAAGTTTGTGACAAAGACTCAATTCCTTTGCATAATTAACATTCTTTAATCAGTCTGTTTTCTTGGAATTCTCTTCACAATTATGTATACTGTGCATAAACATCAAACTAATTAGAGAGTTTGGCTCATTCAGGATAAAGACTGAGTCTTATTTTGTATAATTGTTAAGATCTGAGGGGGGGGGGTTCAACTTTATCTTTTCGGGAAATTCCAGAGTAAACTAACGTACCAACTGACATTTTAGGTTTGTGTCATAATTCTGAAAGATAATACGGCCATTGTTATCTTTGAAAAGTAAAACTAATACCATTTCATACTATTTAGTTTAAATTGAATTTATACAAAAAAGTGACCGGTCGCTCTCAGGATAACTTCACCTGTTATGCAACTGTCTGATATGTTAATGCGAGACAATATGATTATTTTTGTTTTGTTGGATTAATTCTTATTTGGCAAACATCCAGACCTGTCTAAACCTGAAGAGAAGGATTCAACAAATTATTCTGTTCTCCAGGGTCTCCAGGATACAGAGATAACCATAAAGATCCAGACTTGTCTTAACCTGAAGAGAAGGGTTCAACATATTATTCTGTTCTCCAGCCTCTCCTGAATACAGGGTTTACCATAAAGATCCAGACTTGTCTAAACCTGAAGAGAAGGGTTCAACAAATTATGCTTTTTTCCAGGGTCTCCAGGATACAGGGTTTACCATAAAGATCCTGACTTGTCTAAACCTGAAGAGGAGGATTTAACAAATTATTCTGTTCTCCAGGGTCTCCAGGATACAGGGATAACCATAAAGATCCAGACTTATCTAAACCTGAAGAGAAGGATTTAAGAAACTATCCTGTTCTCCAGGCTCTCCCGGATACAGGGATAACCATAAAGATAAAGACTTGTATTAACCTGAAGAGAAGGATTCAACAAATTATTCTGTTCTCCAGGCTCTCCAGGATACAGGGTTTACCATAAAGATCCAGACTTGTATTAACCTGAAGAGAAGGGTTCAACATATTATGCTGTTTTCCAGATTCTCTAGGATACAGGGTTAGACTTGTCTAATCCTGAAGAGAAGGATTCAATATAAAACTCTGTTCTCCTAGTTCTCTAGGATACTAGGTTCACCATAAAGGATGTGACTTTAATGTCGATTTGAAGGTTCAATTTGGTGTTCGGTTTTTTTTCATGAATGGATTAGTGCATTTTTAGATGTTGTCAGATAATGTTGTTGCTTATGGTTGATTTGTACCCACAGACTACACAGACTGCTTATCTTCTTTCACAGGGTGGACTACGTAGGCCTAAGTTGACCCGGCACGACATGCTACGTTTTTACGATAGGTTTTTTGAGTGCCATCTCATGGTCACTTGTTGAACGTAATACCCATTCAGGGAATAAGTTTTACAACTTTTAAAGAAATACTTAGATTTTAAATATGAAACATAACATTTATGAATCCAGTCTTTTTTAAAGATTTTGTTCAAGGATCCTTAAATATCCCTGAATACAGATGTTTGCTGATTGGTCGTGTACAGTACTTGTACACAATAGAACATGCTGTGGAAAATATCGCTTATTTTAGCTGATAATCGATCTCTGTAACTCTCTTATATCTGTTTGTACCTCATATCTTTATCTATAGAAAGATCCTTGCACCAGTGCAGGACGAGGTTCGTTTCTTCTTAATTTAGTTTTGAACAACAAGCAATACAGTTCACTGACGTGACATTTTTTCTGTCCTTCAAGAATACCTTATTCATGCAATAAAACAAGATGCAGTTCAATGAATGTGAACAAACTCTCTCCCTCTTTCCTTAATACTGGAGTAAAAAATTGATTTTTATCAAATTTATTAATCACTATATCTTTGCAATTTGATGGTGTAAACATTAGAATTTAAATTTAGAATATAAGTCAAACAGAATTTATAGTTCGAAATATCCAAGATGTATGACAAAGGGTTGCAATGATATTGAGATTAGAAAATCAGAGTTTGAGGCAAGAACTTAGTTCTTTAAAAATAGGGGTATTTTCAGAAATCAAATTAAGAAAATAGTTTAAATATTGGTTACCTCTGACACCAAATCAATTCGCGATTTAAAAAAATTTAAATCGATTTCTGCCAGAATCGATTTGAGCATGGAATAAGGTTTCGAGTAATATATTGATGCGGGTTAGCAGGGCTATAATGAGGGGAATATATTGATTATAAAGTGCACTAACTGTTCTACTCTGATATCTACCAAGTGATATAATAAAATCTATTCATGGAATTCGGCAGATAGATAGTATCAGTAATGTATCAAAGACAGAAATAACATTCATGTTGAATACAAGAACTACATAATAACAATAAGAATAAGTTTATATTATTCTCTATAAAATATATGAATATTGAAAACTATGCTACTGGGAATATACTAGAAGTATGTATGTAGATTGTAGATATGTTGTTTATATACTTTTGTTATTAGACCCTATAAAAACTCTGGTCAGGTTACTATAGAAACCCTGATCAGGATATTATAGAAACCCTGATCATGACCCTATAGAAACCCTGGTCAGAACTATAGAAACTCTGATCAGGATGCAATAGAAACCCTGGTCAGGATGCTATAGAAACCCTGGTCAGGATGCTATAGAAACCCTAATCAGGATCCTATAGAAACCCTTATCATGACCCTATAGAAACCCGGATCATAATCCTATAGAAACCCTGATCAGATTCTATAGAAACCCTGATCATGATCCTATAGAAATCCTGATCATAATCCTATAGAAACCCTGATCATGAACCTATGGAAACCCTGATCATGAACCTATGGAAGCCCTGATCATGACTCTATAGAAATATAGAAACCCTGATCATGATCCTGTAGAAACTCTGGTCAGGATACTATAGAAACTCTGATCAGGATCCTATAGAAACCCTGGTTAGGATACTATAGAAACCCTGGTCAGGATACTATAGAATCTCTGATCAGGATCCTATAGAAACCCTGGTCAGGATGCTATAGAAACCCTGATCATGATCCTATAGAAACCGTGATCAGGATCCTGTAGAAACCCTGGTGAGGATCCTATAGAAACCCTGGTCAGGATACTATAGAAACTCTTATCAGGATTCAATAGAAACCCTGGTCAGGATGCTATAGAAACCCTGATCATGGTCCCATAGAAACCCTAACCATGTCCTATAGAAACCCTGATCAGGATCCTATAGAAACCCTGGTCAGGATACTATAGAAACCCTGGTCAGGATACTATAGAAACCCTGGTCTGGATACTGTATACAGTTATAGAAACCTTAATCAGGATCCTGTAGGAACTCTAACAACGATCATACAATATGCTGGGAGGTTTAGAAAATAATATTTTTATTTTCTTTAGACATTTATCAGGAGCAAACATTCCTATAGGGCTTCAAAAACTTAGGTGATATATCATGGTTTCGTGAATCTGTGTAGATTGTAAAGAATTTATTCCAAATGAGAAAGTTAACCGTATTTTAGAAACTGAACCAGATTTAGGAAACTTAACTAGATTTAGGAAACTGAACTAGAATTAGGAAATTGAACCAGATTTAGGAAACTGAACTAGATTTAGGAAACTGAACTAGATTTAGGAAACCGAACCATATTTAGGAAACTGAATCAAATTTAGTAAACTGAATCAAGTTTAGTAAACTGAACCAAGTGTAGGAAACTGAACAAGTTTAAGAAACTGAATCAAATTAAGAAAACTAAATCCGATTTAGTAAACTGAATCAAATCTAGGAGACTGAATCAAATTTAGGAAACTGAATCAGATTTAGGAAACTAAATGAGATTTGGTAAACTGAATCAGATTTAGTAAACTGAACCAAATTTAGGAAACTGAATCAAATTTAGGAAAACTGAACCAAATTTAGGAAACTGAATCAAATTTAGAAAACTGAACCAAATTTAGGAAACTGAATCAAATTTAGGAACTGAACCAAATTTAGGAATTTAGGAAAACTGAATTTGATTTAGGAAAGTAAATCAGATTTATCAAACTGAATCAGATTTAGTAAAACTGAATTTAATTTAGGAAACTGAACCAGATTTAGGAAACTGAACTAGATTTAGGAAACTGAACTAGATTTAGGAAACTGAACTAGATTTAGGAAACTGAACTAGATTTATGAAACCGAACCATATTTAGGAAACTGAATCAAATTTAGGAAACTGAACGAGATTTTGGAAACTGAACCAAATTTAGGAAACTGAACGAGATTTAGGAAACTGAACCATATTTAGGAAAATGAATCAGATTTAGGAAACTGAACTAGTTTTAGGAAACTGAAACAGATTTAGGAAACTGAATCAGATTTAGAAAACTGAATTAGATTTAGGGAAATGAACCAGATTTAGGAAATTGAACTAGATTTAGGAAAATGAACCAGGTCTAAGAAAATTTAGTAAACTGAATCAAGTTTAGTAAACTGAACCAAGTTTAGGAAAGTGAACAAGTTTAAGAAACTGAATCAAATTTAGAAAACTGAATCCGATTTAGTAAACTGAATCAAATCTAGGAGACTGAATCAAATTTAGGAAACTGAATCAGATTTAGGAAACTAAATGAGATTTAGTAAACTGAATCAAATTTAGGAAAATGAACCAGATTTAGAAATTTAGGAAAACTGAATTTGATTTAGGAAAGTAAATCAGATTTAGTAAACTGAATCAGATTTAGTAAAACTGAATTTAATTTAGGAAACTGAACCAAAACTAAGTTTAAGTCCTGTGAACGTCTTTTTCTGTCTTGTATTGAAAACACGCAATGTATTGAGTTCATTTAGTACTATTGTGCTAGTGTTTTTGTACGCAACTATTGTACTGTCATGATGTACCGCTGCACAACATTCGTCATGTTTATCTTGTGCAAGGTTATAATGCAAGGAAAGTTAATTGCAGTTGCGTATACTCTGTGTACACATTGAAACCAGTTCAGTTCTCTCTGGGCGGAATTTGCAAACAAGAATAGATGCATTAGTGTTCGTTTAGTATCAGAGGAGCATTAAATTTTTATAATTCACATAATAGTTTCCTATGACCAGAATATTTCATTGATTTTTTATGTGAAAGATGGATCCCGTATCAGGCTTCGACATCCGTCTTGTGTTTACATTACCGCTCAGAGACAGTGCACTGCAGTACAAAAGATGCGTACACCTCTGAAATAACTTTCCTTGCATTATAACCATGATCCTGTTTATTTAATAATTTTATTCACAAACCATATTTTACAAGGATAACCAGTAAAAAAGTCGTTTTTCTTAAATCTTTAAATTAGAAAATTAGTTGAGGATATTATAATTTGTAACTTATTCTAAACATATTCAAAGATACAGGGTAACCTACAAAAAATGAGACTGCTAAGACGATATGAAGCTCTTTAACTTTGACGATTCCAAGATTAAATTAAATATATGAATATATAAGAAAACGGACAGTAAACAGTTGCAAGGAGTCATGAAATATCTAGTTTTTATCTAAATAAAATAAAGAAGGGAAATCTTAAAGAATTTCAAGTGACCCTCAATCTAAACAGGTGACATAACCGATTAACAACAGTTTCCTTTAAACCCTTCTCTGAGAAATAACAATGAAGATATCGTCGTTTCTTCAGATGTAAAACAAGAAGATAGCAATCTTTTCTGGTCTGACAAAGGTTGCCTAGGTACTATAGGGAATCCGAAAACTGACTCTTTAAATTATGGATCCCTTGAAATTACGTTGTTGTTCCCTTTAATATCTTCAGCTTTTTTAGTTTTTAAAACACTTTTTTTTAGATATGGAAAATATACACGACACATGCATGCCATGAGTTTAAAATCATTTATTTTAAAAAATGGAAAAATGACAATTTATAGACATTTTTTTCTCAATTTATAATTCATTCCATTAGTTGATTAACTCAAAAATAAAGTATAACAAACATCAAATATAAAAAATTTAGAAAAAAAAATTATATTTTAAAGATTTGAAACAAAAGACACATAAACTAACCATATTATTTCTTCCATTTCAATTTTTTAAATTTGTGAATTCAACTTGCTTGAAACCTTTCCTAATATTATTTTTCAAAAAAAGTTTTCAACTCTTTGTAATTAATCTTTTGAATAATTAATCAAAAAAACAAAAAGTTTTGAAAGTTTTTTTTAAAAAATGAAGATTATTACCATACCACTTTTTATCAATAGAAATTAAGCCATAAAAATGTGTCTTATTTCTTAACTGGGTCCTGAAAAGGACTGTAAATGTATTTTCATCAGAGCCACGCTCGATTTACAACGATACCCTTTCTACCCGTATTTGATAAATGAAGTGGAAGAAAGCTTGAAAAGTGTTTTGACAACTTACTCCAATATTTCTGATAAACTTGGAGAGCTCATGATTGTTTAATCAGATTAAACTTTAGATCAGATGAGAGACAATTGAAATCATATCTACAGTACATTTCAGTACAGTACAGTACAGTACAGTACAGTACAGTACAGTACAGTACAGTACAGTACTGTACTGTACTGTTTAATGAAAAGTGCATAAAAACAGTTTATTTAAGACAAGATATACTATCAATTATTTATTAAATAAAACAAGATATTTATATATATACATATATGTTGACTATATAGTCGGTCAAACTGCTGGACCGAATGGGCTTTAATTTGTTGTGGACACTCATGGATGGCCAGTGAGTGTTTTTGCAACCCTATCTTTGCAACCTTGTATTTTCAAACTATTAATTATGTCAGATCAAATTATCTAAGTTTGAAATATCAAAGGTTCAAACTGTCAGGTTGCAAAAATATAATTTGTGGCAAAATCGAAATTCCTTTGTGCCCTGAAAAGCTACGACCGTAAAATTTAATTTACATACAGGGTTATGCACAAAGGTTGAGACGTTAATAGAGACGACTGTACGGAATATATACTGTCTGTTTCCTTATATTTATTATTCCCTGCAACTGTAAACTTGCTTCTCTTTTTTTTCAAATCATTTAATAAGCCTTTATCACTCTCAGAAGACTTGATTTAACCTCGGGATATCGTCATATCTTCAGAGTTAAAGGTCGTCTTTACAGGGTTTAAAGGGTATCGCTGAGAATAACTTTTACCAATTAACATTACGTTAACATATATTTTTTAATCTGTTTTTTAACTTCGAACATTTTCAGGAAACTTCGTCATTTGGATAGATTTTCCCATTCTGATCCTATGTGTGTTCTCTATAGAAAGGTAAACAAACAAATGTAAACAAACAAATTAACAACCAAACAAACTCACAAACATCAAGAGCTCATCAAAACATACAAAAGAAAAGGGTTTTGTTTTCATTTTTAAAAATGTTACTTCATGTCTTCTTACATAGTGTACGTCGTTTGGGAATAAAAAATGTTCATGGCTTAAAATTCTTAAAGCTATTCACTCATCAGGGGTTTTCAGATCCTCTATAGGGGTTTTCAGATCCTGTTTAGGGGTTTTCAGATCCTATATACTGGTTTTCAGATCCTCTATAGAGTTTTCAGATCCTCTAATGGGGTTTTCAGATCCTCTATAGGGGTTTTCAGATCCTCTATAGGGGTATTCAGATCCTCTATAGGGGTTTCCAGATCCTCTATGGGGGTTTCCAGATCCTCTATAGGGGTATTCAGATCCTCTATAGGGGTTTTAAGATCCTCAATAGGGTATTCATATCATCCAAAGGGGTTTTCAGATCCTCTATAGGGTTTTCAGATCCTCTATAGGGTTTTCAGATCCTCTAATGGGGTTTTCAGATCCTCTATAGGGGTTTTCAGATCCTCTATAGGGGTTTTCAGATCCTCTATAGGGGTTTTCAGATCCTCTATAGGGGTTTTCAGATCCTCTATGGGGTTTTCAGATTATCCAAAGGGGTTTTCAGATCCTCTATAGGGTTATTCAGATCCTCTATAGGGTTTTCAGATCCTCTATAGAGTTTTCAGATCCTATATAGGGTTTTCAGATCCTATATAGGGGTTTTCAGATCCAATATATAGGAGTTAGCTCAAGCCTTAAATGCTTTCAATCGTAACCTAACTTAAAAATAAAATAAAAATACAGACAGCAACTTAAACTCTGTAAACTAAACAAAAAACATGGCAACAAACATCTAAAATATAAAAATACGTACAGTTAACATACAAAAACTGAACCAAATAGATAGATAGATAGATAGATAGATAGAAAGATAGATAGATGATAGATAGATAAATAGATAGATAAAATTGGGAGGGTAAAATTAAGTGAGGTTGAGGTGTGTGGGTTAAAAGGAAAATGTTATGAAAAGTTTATAATCTAGTTCTACAATCTATCTAAATATATATAAATGTCTAAAGTATCAATTTTGAAACGTGTTTGTATAGCAGAGCGGCACTCAGGGAAGAAGTTTAGTACATATTTCAAAATATTTACCTATTCAAATTGAAAGGAATAGAAAAAGGATTATACACATGAATGTAGTAAACCCCTACTCCATAACAAGTTCTCGAATCTATCTATCCAGGTACAATCCGTCCGATATCAAACTCAACCAGGACTGAATCCCAGGTTCTTAGTGCCACAGAGGGACACAAGCGTAGCTATCAAAATCCTGTCACTAATACAGTGTTCAACCAGGACTGAATCCCAGGTTCTTAATGCCACACAGGGACGCAAGCTATCAAAATCCAGCCACTAATACAGTGTTCAACCAGGACTGAATCCCAGGCTCTAAATGCACACAAGTGTGTAGCTATCAAACAAGCTATATATAACGAACTCAAATGATAGGGATGATCCAATGTTCTAAATGTCACACAGGGACACAATCCACACGGCTACAATCCCGTGACTAATCAACACCACTTCATGGGGCGCGATCTCGTTAGCTATCTGTATCAATACAGACACTAACCATCAATTGATCAATGTCTCAAACAGGACACAATCCAAACGGCTAAAATCCTGTGACTAATCAACACCACTACACAGGGCGTAATCTTGTTAGCTATCGATGTCAATACAGACACTAGCAATCAATTGATCAGTGTTAACTAGGATACGATCCACACGCCTGTAATCCCGTGACTAATCAACGACACTATACAGGCGCGATCTCGTTAGCTATCGATGTCAATACAGACACTAGCACTTAACAGATCAATTTCAATACTCAAGGTATGATCTCCACTCGTATTTTTCAACGAGAACCAAATCACTTCTAATACTGTAATCAAAGCAGAGTCTCAATCAACAAACTTTAATTAATATCTTATGTCACAAAGTTAACAGGAATTGACGTAGTTACAATTCCTACGATGTTATCTATATAACATGTTTAAGGCCATCATATTATGTATTTATCGCAGAGTTAAAGTTTAATGTGTGTATTTTTAAAATTAGAGAGAACAGATACAACGCAGTTAAGCTATCTCCGTACATGTTTTATAGCGTAACTTAAGTATGTCGCATGATTTAAGCTAATCATGTTAAGTTTTCAATTGAAATGTAGTTTCAATGAATAATGGCATTATGTCTAAGTTTACAACATTAAATCATTAATAATGTACAACGTACTGCAAATTTTACAGAATATCATGTTTCCACGATTTTGCTATATGAATACAACCAATTTAAAAGTGTTAAATAGTGGTTTTCCCAACTTTTGGAAAAATTTAGTGAAATTGCGTTTTTAGAGGAAAAAATAATAATTAAAAAAGTGAAAAATGATTATCATATGATAAGATCAACACATTAAGTACCCAATTCTCAGAGTTGATATCAGTTCTGAAGGTTCAGAAAAATCAGATCAACCATGTTAACCAACATGATGTCGAGCTTCCAGCAGAGCTGGGCGAAATTAACCGAGAAAGGGGACACTGTAGCTAGGAATCTGTTCTATGAATAAACTAATAGTTCTCCGTCCTAGTGTGGTATCCGAGGTACCTGGAGCGAGGTAGGACGAACTGAAGTGATCAAGAACTGCGGAGATCCACAGTGGACCACGTCCTTCACTCTTCAGTACAATTTTCATGAAAAACAGGTGAGAGCAATAAAAAATTATTTAAAGCTAATTTGAACGAGAATAAACCCTATTTCGCAGTGCATAAAGGAATTGAGTCTTTGCCACAAAATCAAATCTTTCAAGTTCCTGTATCTTGACTACCGAATGGGGAACACCTTAGATTATTTAATCTAACAGAATTCATAGCTTGAAATATCTAAGGTCTACGAACAGGGATTAGAAAATCAGAGTTTGTAGCGAAGACTTATTTCCTTTCAAAATCTTTTTTTTACTTTTTATTTCTTCAATCAATACCCTTCCCTCTCCCTAACACCTTCCCCCCCTTCTCTTGAATCTCAAGATCTAGCCCTAATCCCCGTTCCCATGAATATTTTGGTTAAAACCGTGGTTGAGATCTCAGCCTGAAGTGAGGACGGAGAAAGATCATTAAACTTTATTGAGCAATCAAGTTTTACCCGGAGGAGATGAGATTCAGGTTTACCATACTTTCATCCAGATATTCATCCTTTATTCTTCATACTCCATTCTTCATCCTTTATCCTTTATATTTTATATCATCCATCCTTCATCCTTTAATATCTATCCTTTATCTTTTAGATCCTCCATCCTTCATCCTTTAATATCTAACCTTTATCTTTTAGATCCTCCATCCTTCATCCTTTAATATCTATCCTTTATTTTTTAGATCCTCAATCCTATATCCTTTATTCTCCATATTCCATTCTTCATCCTTTATCCTTTATCTTTTAGATCCTCCATCCTTCATCCTTTAATATCTATCCTTTATTTTTTACATCCTCAATCCTATATCCTTTATTCTCCATACTCCATTCTTCATCCTTTATCCTTTATCTTGTAAATCCTCCATCCTTCATCCTTTAATATCTATCCTTTATTTGTTAGATCCTCCATCCTTCATTCTTTAATATCTATCCTTTATCTTTTATATCCTCCATCCTATATCCTTTATTCTCCATTCTAAATTCTTCATCCTTTATCTTTCATTTATCATCCTCCATTTTCCATTCTACATTTTACATCCTTTATCCTTTATTTTCAATCCTTCGTCCTTCATCGTTTATCCTTTATTCTCCATCCTTTATCCTTTATTCACCATACTTTATCCTTTATTCTCTATTCTCCATCCTTTATCCTTTATCCTTTATCCTTTATTCTCCATCCTTTATCCTTTATCCTTTATCCTTTATCCTTTATACTTTATTCTTTATTCTTTATTCTCCATCCTTTATCCTTTATCCTTTATCATTTATCCTTTATCCTTTATCCTTTATCCTTTATCATTAATCCTTTATTATCCATTCTTTATCCTTTCACCTCCATCTTTCCTCATTTGATCTCCATCCTTTATCCTTTACCCTTTATCCTTTATCCATTATTCTTTATCCTTTACCCTTTATCCATTATCCTTTATTCTTTATCCTTTACCCTTTATCCATTATCCTTTATTTTTTATCCTTTATCCTTTATCCTTTATTCTTTATCCTTTACCCTTTATCCATCATCCTTTATTCTTTATCCTTTACCCCTTATCCATTATCCTTTATCCATTATCCTTTATCTTTTATCCATTATCCTTTATCCTTTATCCTTTATTCTTTATCCTTTACCCTTTATCCATTATCCTTTATCCATTATCCTTTATCTTTTATCCATTATCCTTTATTCTTTATCCTTTATCCTTTATCCTTTATTCTTTATCCTTTACCCTTTATCCATTATCCTTTATCCATTATTCTTTATTCTTTATCCTTTATCATTTATCCTTTATCCTTTATTCTTTATCCTTTATCATTTATCCTTTATCATTTATCCTTTATCCTTTATCCTTTATACTTAATCCTTTATCCTTTATTCTTTGTTCTTTATCCTTTACCCTTTAACCTTTATCAATTATCCTTTATTCTTTATCCTTTACCCTTTATCCATTATCCGTTATCCATTATCCTTTATCTTTTATCCATTATCCTTTATTCTTTATCCTTTATCCTTTATCCTTTATTATCTATTTTTCACTCTTCTCCTCCATTCCTCCTTCATCAATTTCATTTTCCACTTTTTAAATCTTTTATCCCTGAACTTTCTGCTGTTTTTATCTCCTCCTGTTTTTTTCTATTCTATTCCATAATAAAACCTCTATTAATCTCATGAATATCTCTTTTTAATACCTGTTCAGCTGTTCACACTCGTTTTATTCAACATTATTATCTCTCCAATGTCTGCTTTTACCCCCTTAAACCCCATTATATTTGTCTTGAAACTTTCTTACTTAGGAACTTAGGAAGAGGAGGGGAGGGGGGGTTCAATATCTTATCAGAGACAAGGTTATAATGCAAGGAAAGTTATTTAAAAAGTGTACGCATCTTTTGTACTGCAGTGTACTGTCTCTGGGCGCTAATGTAAACACAAGACGGATGTCAAAACCTAACATGGGATCCATCTTTCACATAAAAAATCAATGAAATATTCTGGTCATAGGAAACTATTATGTGAATTATCAAAATTATCAAAATTTAATGCTTTTAACCCCCTCGGATACTAAACGAACACTGATGTACCCATTCTTAATTACAAATTCCGCCCAGAGAGAACTGGTTAGAATATGTACGCAGAGTATACACAACTTTCCTTGCATTATAACCTTGATCAGAGATTTATGTGACACAGGGGTATAAGATGCAGAAGGATTCAAGATTCAAACCACATTACACAACAGGACGACGCTAAATAATTTATTGACGTTTGAAGATTGCTTAGAGATAAAAATATGATAACTCGTTCATATAGATCTTGACTGCTATCAAAATTTTTAATAATGGATCGACTCTGAAGTGTTGCAAGAGTTCGGTGTGAGAGATATAAGGGATGGAAGAGGGAAAAATAGAGGAGGAAGGAGGAGGAGGGGATGGAGGAGAGGAAAGGGGGTAAAGGATGTAAAGGAAGGGGGGGTATGTTATTCTGTTCTGAAGCCCTGCAAGAAGAATGAATTTCTTATCAAAAAGAATAAATAAACAATGAAACAATGCATCCATTCTCAAATTTATTTTGTAAACGAACAATCAAAGTAGCGGGTCATAAATTTAGCATTTTAGGTTTCTAATTTTCTCTCTAACCTTTAATTCCTCTTTTTTATTATTACTGTCTTCCCCAACTGAATTTTGTTCTCAAACACCCTGTTTTTCCACCAGATAAACCCCGCTCCTGCCCCCCCCCCCCCCCTTGCCTCGCTAAATATGAAAACAAAATATGTTCCCAAGTCTCCCCCAGAGCCCTGTTAGAAAAACAGCCTAATGTACTTCCTTTCTTGTAAAAATACATTCATGGATTGATGCTTTTCTCAGGCTTTTTTCTATTTTCTGATTCCAGGCTTGAATTTCAGTCTTTGCCTGCACAAACTCTGATTTATAAATCGTATATATCTTTTCAATACAATGTCGCAGACCTTGGATATTTCAAAATATGAATTTACACCATTTGGTTGCAAAGATATAGGGTTTAGAAAATTTGAGTTTGTGGCATAGACTCAATTTATTTGAAAGATGACCCATGTAAGAACAATATTAGAGTTTGTTTGTCTAAATTTAAGCATGCTTTAAACGCCTAAAATGTAAATTACCAAGCAGGGATATATGTTGCAATTGTAACCATACATTACCGACATTAATCGACCGCCAGCTTTCAATTAAAAAGACTCGTTTTAAGGGTACTGCTGTCACTTAATAAATGGAGATTTAAGCGAAATCACGTTTACAGTTTCTTTAATGTTAAGTAAATTAATAAAAATAGACTTTTATATTCCTGCCATTTCTGTTCTAATATTTAGTTTTTCAGGATTTGAGGTTTGCTGTTTATGATATAGACAGTGAATCCGGTTTCCTGGAAGATCATGAGAACCTGGGAACTGCAGAATGTGCTCTAGCTCAGATACTCTCAGCTGACCGGCTCAAGGTATACCATTAGCTACTCTCAGCTGACCGGGTCAAAGTATACCACTAGATACTCTCAGCTGACCGGCTCAAGGTATAATACTAGATACTCTGAGCTGACCGGCTTAAGGTATACCACTAGATACTCTCAGCTGACCGACTCAAGGTATACCACTAGATACTCTCCGCTGACCGACTCAAGGTATACCACTAGATACTCTCAGCTGACCGGCTCACGGTATACCACTAGATACTTTCAGCTGACCGACTCAAGGTATACCACTAGATACTCTCCGCTGATCGGCTCAAAGTATACCACTAGATAATCTCAGCTGACTGGCTCAAGGTATACCACTAGATACTCTCCGCTGACCGGCTCAAGGTATACCACTAGATAATCTCAGCTGACTGGCTCAAGGTATACCACTAGATACTTTCAGCTGACCGGCTCAAGGTATACCACTAGATAATCTCAGCTGACTGGCTCAAGGTATACCACTAGATACTCTACGCTGACCGGCTTAAGGTATACCACTAGATAATCTCAGCTGACCGGCTCAAGGTATACCACTAGATACTCTCCGCTGACCGGCTCAAGGTATACCACTAGATACTTTCAGCTGACCGGCTCAAGGTATACCACTAGATATCTCAGCTGACTGGCTCAAGGTATACCACTAGATACTCTCAGCTTACCGGCTCAAGGTATACCACTAGATAATCTCAGCTGACTGGCTCAAGGTATACCACTAGATACTCTCCGCTGACCGGCTCAAGGTATACCACTAGATAATCTCAGCTGACAGACTCAAGGTATACAACTAGATACTCTCCGCTGACCGGCTCAAGGTATACCACTAGATACTTTTAGCTGACCGGCTCAAGGTATACAACTAGATACTCTCCGCTGACCGACTCAAGGTATATTACTAGATACTCTCCACTGACCGGCTCAAGGTACTCCTAGATACACAAAGAAGAAATATAATCTCGCTACTCCGTGACCATGCAGAAACTTTTTTTCATTTATTGCTGGTTTCCATGTTTCACAGGTGTTGGTCCGTAAGGGACAATTTTCTAAATTTTAGGGAAAAGTGAAAAAATGTGATATTTTAAAAACAATATTTGATATTTTTTCACAAACAAACTTTGTTCAGAGATGTGTAATAAATTAGGAAATATTAACCTTTGCTTTGTTGAAAGTTGAAAAAGCATGATCGATTGAATAAAAACGTTGCCATGTTTATGAGATTGAGCTGAATCTTTCCTTTGTTTAGATTGAGCTGAATCTATCTCCTGTTTAGATTGAGTTGAACCTATCTCCTGTTTAGATTGAGCTGAATTTATCTCCTGTTTAGATTGAGTTGAACCTATCTCCTGTTTAGATTGAGTTGAACCTATTTCCTGTTTAGATTGAGATAAACCTATTTCCTGTTTAGATTGAACTGAACCTATCTCCTATTTAGATTGAGTTGAACCTATCTTCTGTTTAGATTGAGTTGAACCTATCTCCTGTTTAGATTGAGTTGAACCTATCTCCTGTTTAGATTGAGTTGAACCTATCTCCTGTTTAGATTGAGTTGAACCTATCTCCTTTTTAGATTGAGTTGAACCTATCTCCTGTTTAGATTGAACTGAACCTATCTCCTGTTTAGATTGAACTGAATCTATCTCCCTACCGAACCCACCCAGGTGACTGTGGTGTGCTAACCGTAATAGCTGCTGAGCTCTCAGATGGAACTAGAGACAGAGTAACTCTAGGTAAGGTTTTAATGTGTAAAGTAATCTCTGTTTGCTTGGATGCATGTCCGACCATAACTCATGAAAACCTTGACCGATTTGCTTCAAATTTTGATTGGAGAACTCAGCAGCTTGGTTTAATAATTCTAAGCTGAATAGGTTAACTTTTATAGCTAAAGTTTACTTTCTAAGCAAAGCTGGGTTACCAAGCTAGTAATTATGTAAAACTCTAAATTTCTATTTTTGAAGAGAAAAACCTGATTACTCCCTTCAAACACAAATTTTCTAATTTTTATATTTTTGCAACCTAATACTAAGACTTTTGATATGTTTTAAACTAAAAGTTCTGCCAGATATTATTTGCAATGTTTCCCCTCTGACATAAAAATAAATTGGATTTTTGCAAAAATATTGTTGAGTGAGATGTTTGAAAACATTTTTAAAAACATATTTTTAAAATAAGATACACATGTATCAAAATATTTGAAAGGATTCATATGTAAGTTGGGGGAAAGGGGGGACAAACTTGTCCTTACCTATCTACAGAAACTATTCCGTATTTATCTACAGAAACTATTCCTTATTTATCTACAGAAACTATTCCGTATTTATCTACAGAAACTATTCCTTATTTATCTACAGAAACTATTCCGTATTTATCTACAGAAACTATTCCGTATTTATCTACAGAAAATATTCCGTATTTATCTACAGAAACTATTCCGTATTTATCTACAGAAACTTTTCCTTATTTATTTACAGAAACTATTCCGTATTTATCTACAGAAACTTTTCCTTATTTATCTACAGAAACTATTCCGTATTTATCTACGGAAACTATTCCGTATTTATCTACAGAAAATATTCCGTATTTATATACAGAAACTATTCCGTATTTATCTACAGAAACTATTCCATATTTATCTACAGAAACTATTCCGTATTTATCTACAGAAACAATTCCGTATTTATCTACAGAAACTATTCCGTATTTATCTACAGAAACTTTTCCTTATTTATCTACAGAAACTATTCCGTATTTATCTACAGAAACTGTTCCTTATTTATCTACATAAGCTTTTCCACATTTATCTAAAGAAACTTTTCCTTATTTATCTACAGAAACTTTCCTTATTTATCTGCAGAAACTTTTTCTTATTTGTCTACAGAAACTTTTCCTTATTTATCTACAGAAACTTTTCCTTATTTATCTACAGAAGTTTTTCTTTTTTTATCTACAGTAACCTTTCCTTTTTATCTACAGAAACTTTTCCTTATTTATCTACAGAAACTTTTCCTTATTTATCTACAGAAACTTTTCCTTATTTATCTACAGAAACTTTTCCTTATTTATCTACAGAAACTATTCCGTATTTATCTACAGAAACTTTTCCTTATTTATCTACAGAAACTTTTCCTTATTTATCTACAGAAACTTTTCCTTATGTATCTACAGAAACTTTTCTTTATTTATCTACAGAAGCTTTTCCTCATTTATGTACAGAAGCTTTTCCTAATTTATCTACAGAAACTTTTCCTTAAAGAAGACTGAACAACTATGTTTAAGAGGAGAAATTGGGATCGAAAGTCATAGCTTTCTGGAATATTGACAGAACCATTAAATCCACGTGTACTATAATACAGTATATAGTATGATCCCTGGATCCGTTACAATCTCTTCTTTTTATAAAGTTTATGCTGAAGTGAACTCGGGAATGTAAAGTAAACCTTATGCTGAAATTAACTCGGGAATGCATGACAGGTTTTCAGAGAATTTAGAGAAAATAAATAGTTTTAAGTATTGTTTTTCTATAAAAAAAATTTCCAGGGCCCAAAAGGTTATACAGCAAAAAAGTGTAAAGTGCAAGTATGGAAACAGTACAACAAAATGGCGGTTAAACACTATTTTCGACTTAATTCCACTCTATACTTTTATATTCTCTTTGTATTTAGAGTTAGAATCTATAGTTTCAATATAATTTGTCAAAGTAAACTCTGGTTTTAGTTCTTTAAAGCAAAACTAATTACAACCTTCGTTATATAAAGGAAGATCAATTTTAAGACTGTTTTACAGAACACTTTTTAAATAACAGTGAAAATATAACATTTCTTCTGCGTATTAAAAATGAATTTAGAATAAAAATTTTTTTATCAACATTTAAAAATTTTCTTTCAAATATTTGTTTTTGCCGTTATTGATATTTTTTGTAATGGATGTTTTTTATAAATATTGTTTACGAGGTGTTGTTCAATAATAACTAATATTTCCTTATTCTCCCCCCTTCTAATTATTCTCTCCCCCTCTCCTTTTTCTCTCCCCTCCGACTCAATCTCAAACCTTCCCCATTTTCTCATCGTTCCTCCACCTCCCTCTGTATCCCAATTTTCTCATCGTTCCTCTCCCTCCCTCTTTATCCTCATTTTCAAACCTCCTCCTCTCATTCCCCTCCCCCTTCCCCTTGTTTTTATACTGTGAAGCATTAAGGCTAAAAGTATAGGTTTTAGAATCTTTTATTTCTCCCGTTGAGCTTATAATGGATCCTCACAGAGAAAACAGGTAGGGACAGGAGGAGGAGGAGGGACAGCAAGGAGGGGAGGAGGAGAAGGGACAAAAAAAGAGGGGAGGAGGAGAAGTGACAAAAAGGAGGGGAGGAGGAGAAGGGACAAAAAGGAGGGGAGGAGGAGAAGGGTGAGCAAGGAGGGTAGGAGAAGGATGAGGGGATAGGGGGGGGAGGGAGAAAAGGAAAGATGTCTAAAGTGTAAAGAAGGGTGCAAATAAATAAACAGAGTAAAGGGTGAGTGAGTAATGAGGGGGTAGCAGGGGGAAGGAGGGAAATTAGGGTGAGGGATAATAGGTAGGAGAAGGGAGGAGGGAGGATTAAAAATAGAGGATTTGTTGGGGGGGGGGGAGGGGTAGTTTATGGATAGAGAGAGAAAAGCAGTTTTACTTTAGGATTTATTTTAGTTAATTTATACTTCAATAAATAGCAAAATGTTGACAAGTTTTTCAAACTTTGTAAATTTATTCTTTTCAACCCGTCAGAACTTTTTCAATATTATGTTTCTTCTCAATGGTCAATCCAGATGAAAGAGAAGATAAAAGAAAGCACAGACTCTGGGGAAAAATGTGATTGATTGTTGATTCTATAAACTATGATTGAATGTTGATTGTATAAATTGCAACATTTCTTTTAAAGTCAAATGCTTTTAAGAAGTCCAAAGACGAATGTATGTAATATATGTATATTGTATATTGTATATTTTATATTGCATATTGTATAAAGGAATTGAGTCTTTGCCACAAACTCTTATTTTCTTATCCCGTAATCTTTGGAACTCAATGTCGTAGACCTTAGATATTTTAAACAATGAATTCCGTTAGATCAAATAATCTAAGTATGAACTATTAAATGTTTACACTATCAGGTTTAAAAGATATAGGGATTAGAAAATTTGAGTTTGTGGCAAAAACTCAATTCCTTTCTTTATAAAGATTTTTAAAAATTGAGAATTGTAAAATTAAATTTTTTATTGTTTTTTTCCTTTAAATAATATACAACTTCTTCTTCAATGCCTTTAGAAAGTCTTAAATCAAAAATCAAGATGTTCAGAAAAATACTCTGAACTACGCTTTTCACTTCTCGGTACAGCTTCTAGGCTCTGAGATCAGCTTGAAAACTTATGCATCAAGTTTTAAGACCGGGTCGCATTTTGAATGAGAGATCAAGATATGAATGAACATACTCTGTTACATCCAGGATGCACTTCGATGTCCCTTTAAACTAAGCTTTAGGTGCGTACTGCAGTGATCTGCAGTTCTCTGACCGGATAAATAGTGGGTTTTAGTGGAGTCTGATTCAGTTGGTTTTACGTGCATAGTTTGGTTTACTGTGAGAGACTGCTGACTCTGCGTGTTTTCTACAATCCTTAGATGGGATCTGTATTCCCTGTCAGCACTCAGCCCTCCATTTGGAACTGAGAGATTTAGTAAAAAATAAATTTTACTAAAAACTAAGTAAAGTTTTTAATAAAATGAAACCTGAAATTAAAAACCTAAAATATCCCTATGCAGAATATACAGTCAACGCCCCTCATTAAACTAATTTGATATTGCTGCAGTAGAACGAGTAAAAATAAAATAATGTTATGTGCTTTTCCCTCTTTAGAATATTAATCTTTTTTGCAAAGAAATTGAACACTTATTTCAAACTATAATTTCCTTATACGTATAGCTTTGCATCTTAATGGTGTTAACCATTGATATTAAGACTATCTGATCTAACAGAATTTAGAGTTTCAAATATTTAGAATGAAAGTATACACAGTGAATCCCAGATATATGAATACATGGCAAGAGTTTTTTTTTATAATGTCGTATTACATATTTAAGATCAAATTGAATTAAAAATAAAAAGAAGTTTCTTAAGAATTATCAAAAAACTTAAGACGGTCTATGCATTCACATATCTGGATCAGACTCTAGTATATAGGATCAGACTCCAGTAAATTTTTTTCGCGAAATTTCGTTTTAATCTGCTTTGCGAAAAAATGCGGAAATTTCGCTTAAAACAAACGCGAAACTTTCGTATATAAAAATCTCTTCATTAAGATTTTCTTTCCAATATTTATTTAAGTAAAGAAAGAGAAATTATTAATTATGATATTATAAACTTCTAATGCTGAGCTCACAGAGCAGAGAATTCCACAAGATTTTTTTGTGCAATTAATTGTTGCAGCTACAACACTTTTTCGCGGAATTTTTTTTTTCGCGAACATTTTTTCGCATGATTTTTAAACTGTGAACTACCCAAACGTCTATGCTTGAAATGTCAAAAGTGTACAATATCAGGTTGCAAAGATATAGGGATTAGAAAATTTTAGTTTGTGGCAAAAACTCAATTCCTTTGAGGTTACAATCTC